CATACAGGTTATAAAGTGTATTTCAAAGAAATTCAACTGTCTATTGACTAACTAGTAAAACTGTCTAACTAGTGAAATGACTAATTAGTGAAACTAAACTGTTCGGATTTGTCCCATTTAAAAGCTTCACTTGCAATTACAGATACAGTGCATATTCACAAATGTTTTAAATAAAAATGAAAAAATGTTGCATATGTTGAAACAGTGTTGCTGATTTCAGTAATTATGATCATTGAAGACACATTTTTAAAACAAACTCATTGAAAGTCAGATTATTAAGTAAGGTGAACAAGTGTTTTGCATCATTGTTGTTTCTATTGCTTGTTTTTATCAATTGAAATCCTGCTTTGACGAACGTTTTTTTTATTCATATTCTTTATTAAACATGTTAAAAGACAACAACAAAACTAAACGAGAACAAACAATAAACAAAAAAGATCATCAGCAGATGATCCAATTAATGTCATGTTCAAAGGGTAGGAAGAAGTTAGAATAACTTTTCTTGTCCTTCAATGAAATATTTTAGCTATTAAATTGTTTGCATTATTTACCTATTCAAACTAATGTTAATCCTCAACATTAATTTGCGTGATCATCTGGGTAAAGCTGTGGAAAAAGGGTAAAGCTGTGGTTTAGTGACGATAGGAAAGAGGACACTTGAACCCAATAACTATAACCAATAAAATAATTAAGTAATTCGTTAGCATAATAATCAAATAATTTCCTCCTACTGATTTACTGTCGGACTTGAAAAGAAACCAAACAATTTTTCATGGCTTTGATAAGAAAACCTATGCAAATTACATATGGAAAAACAAATTTAGTGTCTGTGCAACAGTAAATGTGCTTAACCCCTGTGTTTTTACCAGCATGTTCCCAGGAAATTGAATTTATCAAAATATAGCAAAAATATTTAATTATTTTTATTGCAGACATGAAAAAAATGTAATTATCATTTATATTTAATGAAAGAAAGACTTCTTTACATGAAAAAAAAGCAAGGTTGTATGAAATGGCAAGAATGATTAAATAAAGGGAGTTTTATGCTTTGTGTTTATTTTAAATAGGTATTTAAAAATTATAGATATTGTAAATTATTATTTTGCCAAAAAAGACAAAAAAATAATATGGTCAAAATACAGTCTCTTCTTCTGCTAGACACAGAGATGAGTTTTAATTGAGAATATGCTAGCTTGTTAGGAGAGGGACAGTTAAGTTGTTGAATATTATTTATACTGTATATATATATGGCGCTGATAAAAAAAAAAAAAAAAAATGGAGGCAGCTGTTCCGTCACAAAATATGAGCAATATCGCACGAGTATAGCAAATGCAAAATAGTGTGTCACAGCGTGCTGATATACAGCCATATTACCAGCTACGAGTGTGATATTGCATTTATACCACAGTTTGACGGCACAAGTGTGTAATACAGGGGTCTCAAACTCAACTTAACTGGGGGCCACTGGTGGTAGAGTCTGGGTCATGGTGACGCTGATGCGGATGAAGTATTCCACAAAAAAAATATTTATTTAATATGTAAATATGGAGTAGTTCACTGATAATTTAATCTCCCCAATGTCATCCAAGATGACCATGTCTTTCTTTCTTCAGTCGAAAAGAAAGTTTTTTGATGAAAACATTCCAGGATTTTTCTCCATATAATGGACTTCACTGGTAACCAAACGGTTCAAGGTCCGAAAGTTTCAGTGCAAACTGTAAACTGTTCAAAGGGCTTTAAACAATTCCAGACGATGAATAAGGGTCTTTAAGTTTTGTAAGCTCAAATGCTTGCCTTGCTCAGTTCTGTGATGCGCATTTGTGACTCTCCTGTTCAAACTCATTCATCAAATTGAAGGAATCTTTTTCCGAGTCAATTAGTTCATTTCGTTCGTTGAATGAACCAAATGACACACAAAAAAATCGTTCATTTTGATAAACGAGTTCGAACAGGAGAGTCATGAACGTGCATCACAGAACTGAGCAAGGCGACCATTTAAGCTTATAAAACGTAAACTTTGTTGGGGTTTTTTTGTCATTTGGTTCATATTTGACCAAAACTTGGGTTAAAACAACCCAGCATTTTTTAGAGTGTACTTATTATTTTATTATGGATATAGGACTGACCTGAAGGAAAATTCTCTCTCTCTCTCTCTCTCTCTCTCTCTCTCTCTCTCTCTCTAGGTAGGTTTAGGGATGGGTTTAGGGATCAGGGGGTGGATTTGGGTAGGTTTAGGTGTGGGTTTAGAGATCAGGGGGTGGAGTTGGGTAAGTTTAGGGGTGGGTTTAGGGATAAGGGGTGGAGCTGGGTAAGTTTAGGGGTGGGTTTAGGGATCAGGGGGTGGAGCTGGGTAGGTTTAGGGGTGGGTTTAGGGATCAGGGGGTGGAGTTGGGTAGGTTTAGGGATCAGGGGGTGGAGCTGGGTAGGTTTAGGGATCAGGGGGTGGAGTTGGGTAGGTTTAGGGGTGGGTTTAGGGATCAGGGGTGGAGTTGGGTAGGTTTAGAGGTGGGTTTAGGGATCAGGGGGTGGAGTTGGGTAGGTTTAGGGGTGGGTTTAGGGATCAGGGGGTGGAGTTGGGTAGGTTTAGGGTGGGTGTAGGGATCAGGGGGTGGAGCTGGGTAGGTTTAGGTGTGGGTTTAGGGATCAGGGGGTGGAGTTGGGTAGGTTTAGGGGTGGGTTTGGGGATCAGGGGATCAGGGGTTGGAGTTGGGTAGGTTTAGGGGTGGGTTTAGGGATCAGGGGGTGGATTTGGGTAGGTTTAGGGGTGGGTTTAGGGATCAGGGGTGGAGATTGGTAGGTTTAGGGGTGGGTTTAGGGATCAGGGGGTGGAGATTGGTAGGTTTAAGGTTGGGTTTAGGGATCAGGGGGTGGAGTTGGGTAGGTTTAGGGGTGGGTTTAGGGATCAGGGGTGGGGCTGGGTAGATTTAGGGGTGGGTTTAGGGATCAGGAGGTGGAGCTGGGTAGGTTTAGAGGTGGGCTTGGGGATCAGGGGGCGGAGTTGGGTAGGTTTAGGGGTGGATTTAGGGATCAGGGGGTGAAGTTGGGTAGGTTTAGGGGTGGGTTTAGGGATCAGGGGTGGAGATTGGTAGGTTTAGGGGTGGGTTTAGGGATCAGGGGGTGAAGATTGGTAGGTTTAGGTATTTGTAGTGTGGGAGGAGTTGGATCTGGATCCGACTCCTCCCCTTGGATTTCATGTTTTGCAGTGAGGAACATTTCTAAAAAAAACTCTTAAAACTACATTCCATGACACATCAACAGTAGTATTTTAAAAAAAAAAGAAAAAAGAAAAAAAAAGATGTTGGCCATGACAGTCGCCGCAAGCGGAGTGAAACAAATGGTGAAATGGTTAGAAAGCTGATAGAGCGGGAATATTTCACGGCTGGAAAAGGCTCTCAGCCAATCAGATTCGAGAAACAGAAAGAAATGATGTATATACAGGATATACTGTACATGCTAAATGTATGATTTTGTATTATCTTAAAACTGGACGTTTTTGACAAATGGTTATTATTTTGACACAGTCAAAATGTAATGTATAAACCTGCATTTTCTGTAAAAGGATTTGAAACTTTATGTATAGGCATCTATATATATAATCATTATACAAATTCATCGACAAATGAACTTCAAATAAATAGTGTTGTATTGCGTGGATCATTATTTTAAAGTCACTTGATGGCAATAGATTAAGATGGTTTTATATTTAACAGTATAGTAAATATTGAATTGATTTAGCAAGTAGATATTTCCCCTATCAGTATTTTAACAGGCTCTTTGTTTTGTGACAAGGAAGTTGGTGATGTCATTACTCATTTGATGTTTCACCTTGGAGCAAAATGTGTCATTGTTTCAAAAGCAGAGAGGGAAGAAGTTAGTTTCCATATATGTTTTTTATTCAATTATTTTAGGTACACATTGTATACTATACTTCCCCTGAAAGTCATTGTGCCACGTTGTAGGCTAATACTTCACCGTATCTCACTATTCCTGATGTCAGAACTGAAAAAAATAAATAAATAAATAAATGAAAGCATTCATAACATCAAATTCACTAATAACTAAACTAACCCAGAAATAACTGTAATAATATGTTCTGGGGTAATTACGCATGTTCATGTTCTTGTTGACCAGTTTAAAGAGTCAAAGACAAAAAAGGTTATATCTCCATTTAGTGGTGAAACTGTGTATTTCATCTAATTGTAGGCATCAAAGGTGAATTGGCCAATAACAAAAACTATATCAACTTAATAAAATAATAGTAATTTAAATAAAAAATAGAGATTTAGTACTACACAAAATATCACACAAAGGCATGTTGTATTTAGTCACATACAAAAATATATTGTTAGTATAGCCAGGAATAGGCCTTACTGTAGTTTAAATAGGGCTTTAAGGTTGTTTTTATAAAATGCCTTAGAAAAAAAAGGCATCTTGTGTGCATCTTGAAATGAAACAATGGCACTGACATATTTTAAGATATGTCAGAGCAAGTTGCTTCCAATTAAACCAGCTCAAACATGTATTTTAGTTTGGGAATTGGTTAAAACTTGTCTTTGAAACTGGGGGATTAAATTGTTTTAACAAATTTACTGGAATGAAAGGCTGCAAAATTACTGGTGTTTCTTTTCTCAACGTGGATGAAGATTGACCAATCACAATATTTGGTCATAATTGACCAATCAGAGTGGTATAGGAATGTACTTCATATTTCTAATTGAGCGTTAGTGAAAGTGTTTCTGGTGGGCTGCTCTTTGCATGTTGTGGATTATGCATGCATGTCAGAGGTTGTTTGCTATTATGTGTTGTTCTAACTGTGTTGTCATTAATGGCTTTATATTGTTAAAATTAGTATATTAAATTAACATTTTGTTGAAGTTGATGGAAGTTGTTGAAAGTCTGGACTAAAGTTCAAGTCAAGTCTGAAGTCGATGTTAATGAGTCAAGGTTTAAGTCAGTTTAAGGATTCATCCTATTAATCATAAACTTCACATTTCTCCTAGGTGTTGAATGGAGAGAACAATTTCACAAGTGAGTATATAGTCACATCCTAAATATCAAACATCAGAACCCACCAGTTAAAGGTTATTCTTCTGAGAATAAAACATTGGCTCTAATTGTATGAACATTGCTATTTTGTAAATACTATTTAGTAAATGTTTGTTTTTATTTTTTATAAATGGAAATCACAGCATCCCTTGACACTACAAGCATTTCTTCAACTGAGTCTAAGGCCCCGTCCACATTACTGTTTTCGTTTAAAAACGGAGACCTTTTGCTACGTTTGCACCTCCCGTCCAGACTAAAACGGAAAAAACAAAGACCTAAAACAGATAAGTTTAGAAACGCTGCAGCTCCGTTTTGCGTTTTGAATCTCCGGAGGCGTTTTAGTGAAGACGGGACAAAACGGAGGACTTTAGAAACGCTGACACAAAGGCTCACGCTCAGCTCTATGATTGGGTGTCATTAGTCAGGTCGTATCCTTCTCTGATTTGTTAGCCACTGTTTACACAAGCACGCGCATGCCCAGTGTTGGTGAATGAATGGTCACGTGATCCGCGTTTCCAGTCATTTTAATGTGGACGGAGATCAATTCTGATATGCAGATAAAACGCTGGTGTGGACGGAGATCGTGTTCGTTTTAATTCTCCGTTTTTAAACGAAAACGCAGTAGTGTAGACTAAGGCTCAATCCCAATTCACCCATTGGCCCTACCCCTTGTTTTCGAGTGTACCCCTTGGCCCTTAAATCAGTGGAATGGAAATAGTTGTTTTATCTTGTCATTAAATCCAGTCCAAAAAAGGTGATCAGTGAGCGGTCGTGGTAATGGGTCTGAAACACCAGGCCTAGCAACTCACTGATGTGGTTCCTAAAGGAGCAATCATCCTGGGTGCAAAATTATCCAAAAAATCCTAAATTATTTACTGTTTGTTATGTTCAATTAATATTAATTCTTGTAGTACAGCATGTTATAAAATATATATGTTAACTATATATCATATCCTTGTAAGCATGAGAAGAATTGCCCATTGAAACTGTATTATATCTTTCTATTTCAAAATATTCCAGCAGCCACTGCAACTACAATGTATTTTTTAACTGAGTCTCCAACATTAGCAGCTACAAGTGAGTATGTTTATTGATGGATATTTGAGTAAACAAGATAATAGGGAAATTATATCAGTAGTTTATTCACATGCTTATGCTCATGCTCAAGTAATATTCAAGGTTGTCTAAACAATTCTTTAGAAAGCTATTTTGTTTTACTGTTACATGTAGGTACTTCGGTATTTCAAATCACATCCTGAGAATCAAATATCAGCACCTGAAAAAAAAATATGTACAGTTTTATGCCTATATTATATATTTGTGTGATAATAATTATTGTAATGCAGAATTTTATTGTATGCGAAAACAGTTTTTGTAAACATGTTGACAAATATTTAAAAAATTCTGATAAGAATTGTACTTATTTCCTTTCACTTCCTATCAAACATCAGTATCTACAAGTTCTAAATTGTATAATGTAATGAAATATAAGTTATTCTTCTAACCATAATACATTGATTGTTATAGAAAAATATTGTATGAGCATATGCTTGTTACCATATGCTTGTTAGCTGGTAAGTACTATTTCATACATGTTTATTTTTTATTTCTTTATATGTCCATATATCACAGCATCCCCTGTCACAACAAGCATTTCTTCAACTGACCCTCAAACATCTTCTGAAACAACTTCTACAAGTGAGTACTCTTCATTGACAACTGTGTAAACTAATAGCTGCATTTTATAAATTTGTATTAACAATGAAGTTGTATTATGATAATTGTGTCAAACAGTATACGAGATGTAATTTATATAGATATACAATTATGACATTTCAGTTGAAAAAAATTGCATTAACACAGTTTACAGATGCTGTCATATTATCTTTTATTAAAAGTTTTTGCAAAACAGAATTACATTTTTTGTAGTAATGACATTTAGGGCTGGGTACCGAGTTCAGTACTTTTTAGGGACCGTCCGAATTGCCTAGGTACTACCGAGTATCGAAACATGTCTTGTTTTTTGGTACCAAATTCCGGTACCTAAGTGGTTAATCTCGTCAACGTCAGTGAAACAATAAGCATGCTGCATGATTGGCTGTGGCGGAAAACACTAGTTTACGCGGCTGCTCAGACACGTAGCTCGTCGCACGTGAGTGTGAGTGTGTGTGTGTGTGTGTGTGTGTGTGCGTGTAAACCCCAACCCAGATGGATAGAAAATATGTGGAAATGATCCAAAGTGTACCTTATGTGCCAGACTCGATGCCAGAAGCACGCGATGCAATATTTTCGACAAGATAATTGCCGCCAAGACCAGTAAAACACGGTAAAACTGATAAGCGCACAGGCACTTGAGAGTACAAAGTTTATCCGTCTTCGACTGCAAGAACTGGAGCGCGTCACAGATAAACCGACACTCAGCATATAGGATACTTGCCTCACAGACATGAGAAATAGCCGGTCAAATAGCCGGTCTATAGACGGTCAAAATATGTCTACTATTAAACAAAACGATTCGAAATAAATAGTTTGATTACCTAATCCATATAGGCGCGCGCATTCACTGCTGCAGGAATGATGAGTCAGCATCGCCATAATCATATTTGCTGCCATCAGACTTATTAATAAATAGTTTGATTACCTAATCCAGGGGTAGGCAAGTTCGGTCCTAGAGAGCCGCTGTCCTGCAGAGTTTGGCTCCAACACTGAACAAAATCTCACCTGCCTATAGCCTTAGTAATCCTGAAGAGATTGATTAGCTTGTTCAGGTGTGTTTGATTAGGGTTGGAACTAAATTCTGCAGGACAGCGGCTCTCTAGGACCGAACTTGCCTACCCCTGACCTAATCCATATAGGCGACATTTATTTGTATAGCAGTTTCTTATTTGTATAGCATTTTAACAATACATATCGTTTTAAAGCAGCTTTACAGAAAACGCATGTTTTCTGAGGTGACAGTGTAATGCATTTCAATTAATTTTCATTCAGTTTCATTGTTAAACAATGCATTACGATAAGGCAGAAACAATGAGCTCATTAAAGTAATGAAAACATGTTGTTAAATGATTAGGAAACATAGAAAACTTTAGCATTGGTGCTTGTTCGCTAATCAGAATCTAAACAAGACACAGGTGAGCACAATGATTAACCAAGGGAACAAACTAACTGAGCTTAGATGTAACATTTGCTGTGTCCGAAATCACCCATTACTCACTATATAGTGGACTATATAATGAGCTCGCCATTTTGTAGTGCTGTCCGAATGTATAGTGATGATTATTATACCCTATATAGTCCACTCAATGTATCCCAGAATGCATTTTGAAAAGTAGTGTACAACCGATGGTCACTAACCTAAGCCCTACATACCATCATGCATTGCGCTGATCGTAAAAATAAGTTATAATCATGTGTGGAGTAGCTCATTATAACAAAAATGGCCAGAAATCACTTTTAGTTTTCAAATTTTGGAGAAATAAGCTCAATATAATGTAATGTATTTATTTTAAAAAATATATTTAGCCCAAAAATGGAAATACGAATTGGTGTGTCATACACTCGCTACTTCATGAGATCAGTCTGTCTCCTGACAATTCTGGATGGCTGAAGGTCCACAGCGTTGCCCTTTGCATTTATCACCAGGGCGGAGCCATGGGAACTGAAGACCAAAGGGGGGCTTGATACCAAGGTGCAGATGGAGGGATAAAGGACCAAATTATTCTATTTCTCGTTCTATTCTATTAATCGTTCTATTATGTTTTGCGTTCCCGAGTTGGAGAAAAAAGTGGACGCCACCCGGAAAGCCGATATAATGGTAGCACTGGCCGAGTACCAGGCACTTACATAAAAAAAAATATATATATGAAGAGTTCAGATGCAAAAGCCTCTAAGTGCCATTTGAAATTTTCTTCTAGAATGATCATTTTTATCAAGCCTGTATATTTAAGTTCAGTAATTTCATTTAAATTGCAATGAAGATTACCTATTGATTGTCATTTAAGTGAAATTACTGAACTTAAATATACAAGCTTGATAAAAATGATCATTCTAGGAGAAAATTTCAAATGGCACTTAGAGGCTTTTGCATCTGAACTCTTCATATATTATGACTACACCTTATCAAAACGCAGCCATTTGAACTTGAAAATGTTCACTTTATTTAATGTTTTTCATGTTAATCTTCTGTTAGCAACGCTAGCAACGTTAGTAATTGCACTCACAACAACCAATTCCCATTCCTACAGGGGACGCAGTAATACGAGTGATTATAATCGTCATTTAAAATACCAAAGCGGTTCAAAAACAATGAAAACAATTCATTCTTACAAGTCACAGGGCGCAGCCATCTTGAATTCCGGAACGGAATTCTTGCTCAGTGTCCTCACGGTTGTCCGACGTCCGAGAGGAGAAATCCGAGGAAAGGGGGCGTGTTGCTAGGCAACACGTACATCTACATCTGGGGAGCTATCTATAACATTATCTCCTCCACCCCTGAGGTGGTTCGGAATGGAAGGTATAATTCATCCAGGTGGGAAGGAGGGCCAAGACACCCAGAGTTCATGGAGGAACCGGTGGAGACAAAAAAAGGTGTGGCTGGTGGATGAAGGAACCACAGAGCAGTAGGAGGAGGATGCCTCTGTGAGAACAGTGAATCCACGTCTCCTGACAATGCGGGATGGCTGAAGGTCCACAGCGTTGCCCTCTGCATTTTTCACCAGGGCGAGCCATGAGAACTAAAGACCAAAGTGGAGTTAGGGGGGCTTGATACCAAGGTGCAGATGGAGGGATAAAAGACCAAATCGACACCAAGCACAGGGGTTTAAAGTGGAACCAGAAGGTCACAGCAGTGAGGTGGCGATGAAGGCTCAGAAGGCAGAGCCAGTAAGAGTGAGGACAAAGGAGTTGTCGGAGGGATGGAGCCAGCCGGAGCCAGCCGTAGGTAGAGGAGGGGGTTGAGCCAGAGAGGCCAATGAAGCCGGAAGACGAGGCGAAGCCTGAAAACTGAATTGAGGCTGCAGAGTGGGTGGAACCAGAGAGCTGGGTAGGACAAGCGAAGATGAACGAGCCAGTGAGCCGTGTAGTACCGGTGGAGACGAAGGAGCCAGGCAGGACCAGCAGAAATGATGGAACCAGGGAACCGGGCGGAACAAGTAAGGACAAAGGAGTTAATGGAGGAGGAAGGGCTTGAGAACAAGTAGGAAATGGCGAGTCCAATATTCCAACTGGAATAGAACTGAGTCTCAAACATCAGCTTTTTATAGGGAGTAATTTTTCTAATTATGGACAATTTAGTAAGCATGTTAATATGAAAATTAGAATAGTAGTTAACTCATTTTAGTGTTAATGTGCTAAATAATACAAATTATTACAATAACTACAATAACTACACAGGACAATGAACTGAACCAAACACATGACTAAAAATATGCACAGGATAATGAGGAACTAAACGGTAACCAAGAGAACAAACTAACTGAGCTTAGATGTGACATAACCCTCTTCCCCCTCCCCCAACACCCCTGAGGGAGGGGGAGGTATAATCCATACTGGGGTTGGCAGGTGGACCAAGATACCCAGGCGAAAAAGTCCATGCAGGCACCAGTGGAGAGAGAAACCAAGGAGTGGCTTGTGGACGAAGGAACTACAGATAAGTAGATGGGGAAGACTCCTTGCAACACCAGTGAATCCACTTCTGCTGGTAATTCTGGAGGTCCACGGCAGTTCCCTCCCCAGTTTTGACCTGGGTGGAGCCGTGGGAACTGAAGACCAAAGTGGAGTAAGGTGTGCTGGACACCAAGGGGCAAATGGAGGGATGAAGAACCAAATTGGCACCGCAGGCACTGGGGTCCAAGGCGGAACCGAAGAGTCAGAGGACTGAGGTGGAGATGAGAGCTCGAAAGACAGAGCTGGAGGCAGTTGGAGTGAGGACAAAGGAGAAGCCAAAGGGGCAGAGTAGCAAGTGGAGCCAACTGGCTGGGGGGGATGAGGCATTGCCAGAGGCAGAGCTGGTGTCTCAGGAAAGATGAGGCAAACCGGGCAAATGAGCAGAGCCAGTGAAGGGTGTGGATCCACTACTAGTTAAAATGTTTATAATGGAATATAAGTTATTCTTCTTATAATGATACTTTGATTATAATACATACAATTAATTGTATGAACATATGTCATTGTTAGCTTCTAAGTAATATTTCGTAAATATTTTTTTTCTCTATATATCCATATATCACAGCATCCACTGTCACTACAACCATTTCTTCAACTGACTCACAAACACCTACTCCTTCTACAAGTGAGTACTTTTCATGGACAATTGTGTAAACTACTAGCTGTATTGTATAACTTTTTATTACCAATAAAGTTGTATTATGATAACTGTGTCTTAACAGTTTCTCCTATGAGATGTAATTCATATACAGTAGATAGACAATTATGACATTTCAGTTGAAAAAACTGTTAACAAAGTTTACAGATGCTGTCATATTATCTTTTATTAAAAGTTTTTGCAAAACAGAATTTAATTTTATGCAGTGATGTCATTTTAAGTATGTCAACGAATATTACTTGCATAATGTTTCAATTCATACATACAAATATTTTAGCACCCCCTGCCACTACAAGCAGTACTTCAACTGACTCAAAACCATCAACTATATCATGTGAGTATTTTTATTTATAGACAGTTGAGTAAACAAGTTAATAGAAAAATTATTTCAGTAGTTCATTCATTTTAGTGTTAATGTGGTAAATGTTAATAATCATAACAATAACAAAACTAGACTAGGAAGTGAACAATTCACAGGACTTAAAAAGCACCCAGAATGACACAGGATAATGTAAATCTAAACAAGACACAGGTGAACACAATGATTAACCAAGGAAACAAACTAACTGAGCTTAGAGGTAACATCATCTTCCCCACCCCTGAGGTGGTTGGAACGGAAGGTATAATCCATTCAGGTGGGAAGAATGGCCAAGACACTCAGAGTCCATGGAGGGACCGGTGGAGAGAAAAAAAAGGTGTGGCTGGTGGACGAAGGAACCACGGAGCAGAAGGAGGAGGAGGCCTCTGTGAGACCAGTGAATTCACTTTTCCTGACAATGCTGGCTGGCTGAAGGTCCACAGTGTTGCCCTCTGCATTTTACACCAGGACGGAGCCATGGGAACTGAAGACCAAAGTGGAGTTAGGGGGCTTGATACCAAGGTTCTAGAGGAGGGGGTTGAACCAGAGAAGCCAATGAAGCCAGAAGAGGAGGCGGAGCCAGAAAACTGAATTGAGGCTGCAGAGGGGGTGGAACCAGAGAGCTGGGTAGGACAAGCGAAGACGAACGAGCTATAGAGCCGTGTAGTACCGGTGGAGACGAAGGAGCCAGACAGGACCAGCGGAAATGAAGGAACCAGGGAGCCGGGCGGAAAAAGTAAGGACAAAGGAGTTAATGGAGGAGGAAGGGCTTGAGAACAAGTAGGAAATGGCGAGTCCAATATTCTAATTGGAATAGAACTGATTCTCAAACATCAGCTTTTTATAGGAAGTAATTTTTCTAATTATGGACAATTGAGTAAGCATGTTAATATGAAAATTAGATTAGTAGTTAATTCATATTAGTGTTAATGTGCTAAAGAATACAAATTATTACAATAACTACAATAACTACACAGGACAATGAAATGAACCAAACACATGACTTAAAATACGCACAGGATAATGGGAAACTAAACAAGACACAGTTGAAAACATTCGGTAACCAAGAAAACAAACTAACTGAGCTTAGATGTGACATAACCCCCATCCCCCTCCCCCCACACCCCTGAGGGAGGGGGAGGTATAATCCATACTGGGGTGGGCAGGTGAGCCAAGATACCCAGGCGAAAAAGTCCATGCAGGGACCAGTGGAGAGAGAAACTAAGGAGTGGCTTGTGGACGAAGGAATCACAGATAAGTAGATGGGGAAGACTCCTTGCGACACCAGTGAATCCACTTCTGCTGATGATTCTGGAGGGCTGAAGGTCCACGGCGGTGCCCTCCCCAGTTTTGACCTGGGCGGAGCCGTGGGAACTGAAGACCAAAGTGGAGTAAGGTGTGCTGGATACCAAGGGTCAGATGGAGGGATGAAGAACCAAATTGGCACCGCAGGCACTGGCGTCCAAGGCGGAACCGAAGGGTCAGAGGACTGAGGTTGAGATGAGGGCTCGGAAGACAGAGTTGGAGGCAGTTGGAGTGAGGACAAAGGAGAAGCCAAAGGGGCAGAGTAGAAAGTAGAACCAAATGGCTGGAGGGATGAGACATTGCCAGAGGCAGAGCTGATGTCTCAGGAAAGATGAGGCAAACCGGGCAAATGACCAGAGCCAGTGAAGGGTGTGGATCCACTACCAGTTAAAATGTTTATAATGGAATATAAGTTATTCTTCTAACAATGATACTTTAAATGTAATACATAAAATTAATTGTATGAACATATGTCATTGTTAGCTTCTAAGTAATATTTTGTAAATATTTTTTTTCTCTATATGTCCATATATCACAGCATCCACTGTCACTACAACCATTTCTTCAACTGACTCACAAACACCTACTCCTTCTACAAGTGAGTACTTTTCAAGGACAACTGTGTAAACTATTAGCTGTATTTTATAATTTTTTCTTACCAATGAACTTGTATTATGATAATTGTGTCTAACAGTTTCTCCTATGAGATGTAATTCATATAGATAGACAATTATGACATTTCAGTTGAAAAATCTGTGTTAACACAGTTTACAGATGCGGTCATATTATCTTTTATTGAAAGTTTTTGCAAAACAGAATTTAATTTTGTGCAGTGATGTCATTTTAAGTATGTCAACGAATATTACTCGCATAATGTTTCTATTCATACATCTAAATATTTTAGCACCCCCTGCCACTACAAGCAGTACTTCAACTGACTCAACACCACCAACTATATCATGTGAGTATTTTTATTTATGGACATTTGAGTAAACAAGTTAATAGAAAAATGATTTCAGTAGTTCATTAATTTTAGTGTTAATGTAGTAAATGTTAATAATCATAAAAATAACAAAACTAGACTAGGAGTTGAACAATTCACAAGACTTAAAAAGCACGCAGAATGACACAGGATAATGAGGAACTAAACGGTAACCAAGAGAACAAACTAACTGAGCTTAGATGTGACATAACCCCCTTCCCCCTCCCCCAACACCCCTGAGGGAGGGGGAGGTATAATCCATACTGGGGTTGGCAGGTGGGCCAAGATACCCAGGTGAAAAAGTCCATGCAGGCACCAGTGGAGAGAGAAACCAAGGAGTGGCTTGTGGACGAAGGAACTACAGATAAGTAGATGGGGAAGACTCCTTGCGACACCAGTGAATCCACTTCTGCTGGTAATTCTGGAGGTCCACAGCAGTTCCCTCCCCACTTTTGACCTGGGCGGAGCCGTGGGAACTGAAGACCAAAGTGGAGTAAGGTGTGCTGGACACCAAGGGGCAAATGGAGGGATGAAGAACCAAATTGGCACCGCAGGCACTGGGGTCCAAGGTGGAACCGAAGGGTCAGAGGACTGAGGTGGAGATGAGGGCTCGGAAGACAGAGCTGGAGGCAGTTGGAGTGAGGACAAAGGAGAAGCCAAAGGGGCAGAGTAGCAAGTGGAGCCAACTGGCTGGAGGCATGAGGCATTGCCAGAGGCAGAGCTGGTGTCTCAGGAAAGATGAGGCAAACCGGGCAAATGAGCAGAGCCAGTGAAGGGTGTGGATCCACTACTAGTTAAAATGTTTATAATGGAATATAAGTTATTCTTCTAATAATGATATTTTGATTATAATACATACAATTAATTGTATGAACATATGTCATTGTTAGCTTCTAAGTAATATTTCGTAAATATTTTTTTTCTCTATGTATCCATACTCACATAATGTTTCTATTCATACATCTAAATATTTTAGTACCCCCTGCCACTACAAGCAGTACTTCAACTGACTCAACACCACCAACTATATCATGTGAGTATTTTTATTTATAGACAGTTGAGTAAACAAGTTAATAGAAAAATGATTTCAGTAGTTCATTCATTTTAGTGTTAATGTAGTAAATGTTAATAATCATAAAAATAACAAAACTAGACTAGGAGTTGAAAAATTCACAAGACTTAAAAAGCACGCAGAATGACACAGGATAATCAGAATCTAAACAAGACACAGGTGAACACAATGATTAACCAAGGAAACAAACTAACTGAGCTTAGATGTAACATCATCTTCCCCACCCCTGAGGTGCTTGGAACGGAAGGTATAATCCATTCAGGTGGGAGGAAGGTTCAAGACACCCAGAGTCCATGGTGGGACCGGTGGAAAGAGAAAAAAAAGGTGTGGCTGGTGGACAAAGGAACCACGGAGCAGTAGGAGGAGGAGGCCTCTGTTACCCCTTTTCCACCAAAAAAGAACTGGTTCCGAACTGGTGCTGGTTCAAAGTTGGTTCGGAGTTGGTTCAACTTGCGAACCCGTTCAGAACCTGTTTGTATTTCCACTGACTAAACCGCCCAGGAAACGACGTCGTTACGTCACTGTGTACGTCGCCATAAGTCTTAGCTAGAAGCGCTTGCAAGTACAACATTACTTTGGGATTATCTCTAACTCGTGTACCAAGAAGGCTTTAAAAACTATTGAAATATGTAAGTCTTTTAATCTATTCATTTGATATGTAATCTTTTCTGATAAGTTGTGTACTTCTGTCTTGTGTCTTTTTTCTTTCCATTTATTTGTTCTATATTGTGACTGTTTCTTCTTTGCTTATAATGTTCTGAAGACTAAAGTGGAGTTAGGGGGCTTGATACCAAGGTGCAGAGTGAGGGATAAAAGACCAAATCAATACCAAGCACAGGGGTCTAAAGGGAACCAGACGGTAAGAGGAGTGAGTTGGCGATGAAGGCTCAGAAGACAGAGCCAGTAAGAGTGAGGACAAAGAAGTTGTCGGAGGAATGGAGCCAGCCGGACCCAGCCGAAGCTAGAGGAGGGGGTTGAGCCAGAGAAGCCAATGAAGCCAGAAGAGGAGGCGGAGCCAGAAAACTGAATTGAGGCTGCAGAGGGGGTGGAACCAGAGAGCTGGGTAGGACAAGCGAAGACGAATGAGCCACAGAGCCGTGTAGTACCGGTGGAGATGAAGGAGCCAGGCAGGACCAGCGGAAATGAAGGAACCAGGGAGCCGGGCGGAAAAAAGTAAGGACAAAGGATTTAATGGAGGAGAAAGGCCTTGAGAACAAGTAGGAAACGGTGAGTCCAATATTCCAACTGGAATAGAACTGAGTCTCAAACATCAGCTTTTTATAGCGAGTATTTTTTTTAATTATGGACAATTGAGTAAGCATGCTAATATGAAAATTAGATTAGTAGTTAACTCATTTATTGTTAATGTGCTAAATAATACAAATTATTACAATAACTACACAGGACAATGAACTGAACCACACACATGACTTAAAATACGCACATGATAATGAGAAACTAAACAAGACACAGTTGAACACATTCGGTAACAAAGAGAACAAACTAACTGAGCTTATACGTGACATAACCCCCTTCCCCCTCCCCCCACACCCCTGAGGGAGGGGGAGGTATAATCCATACTGGGGTGGGTAGGTGGGCCAAGATACCCAGGCGACAAAAGTCCATGCAGGGACCAGTGGAGAGAGAAACCAAGGATTGGCTTGTGGACGAAGGAACCACCTGATAAGTAGATGGGGAAGACTCCTTGCAACACCAGTGAATCCACTTCTGCTGATGATTCTGGAGGGCTGAAGGTCCACGGCGGTTCCTTCCCCAGTTTTGACCAGGGCGGAGCCATGGGAACTGAAGACCAAAGTGGAGTAAGGTGTGCTGGATACCAAGGGTCAAATGGAGGGATGAACAACCAAATTGGCAACGCAGGCACTGGGGTCCAGGGCAGAACCGAAGGGTCAGAGGACTGAGGTGGAAAAGAGGGCTCGGAAGACAGAACTGGAGGCAGTGTGAGTGAGGACAAAGGAGAAGCCAAAGGGCCGGAGCAGCAAGTAGAGCCAAATGGCTGGAGGGATGAGGCATTGCCAGAGGCAGAGCTGGTGTCTCAGGAAAGATGAGGCAAACCGGGCAAATGAGCAGAGCCAGTGGAGGGTGTGGATCCACTACCAGTTAAAATGTTTATAATGGAATATAACTTATTCTTCTAACAATGATACTTTGATTGTAATACATAAACTTAATTGTATGAACATAAGTCATTGTTAGCTTCTTAGTAATATTTCGTAAATATTTTTTTTCTCTATATGTCCATACATCACAGCATCCACTGTCACTACAACCATTTCTTCAACTGACTCACAAACACCTACTCCTTCTACAAGTGAGTACTTTTTATGGACAACTGTGTAAACTATTAGCTGTATTTTATAATTTTTTATTACCAATGAAGTTGTATTATGATAATTGTGTCTAACAGTTTCTCCTACGAGATGTAATTCATGTAGATAGATAATTATGACATTTCAGTTGAAAAAAACTGTTAACACAGTTTACAGATGCTGTCATATTATCTTTTATTAAAAGTTTTTGCAAAACAGAATTTAATTTTATGCAGTGATGTCATTTTAAGTATGTCAACGAATATTACTCTCATAATGTTTCTATTCATACATCTTAAATATTTTAGCGCCCCCTACCACTGCAAGCAGTACTTCAACTGACTCAACACCACCAACTATATCATGTGAGTATTTTTATTTATGGACAGTTGAGTAAACAAGTTAATAGAAAAATGATTTCAGTAGTTCATTCATTTTAGTGTTAATGTGGTAAATGTTAATAATCATAACAATAACAAAACTAGACTAGGAAGTGAACAATTCACAAGACTTAAAAAGCACCCAGAATGACACAGGATAATCAGAATCTAAACAAGACACAGGTGAACACAATGATTAACCAATGAAACAAACTAACTGAGCTTAGATGTAACATCATCTTCCCCACCCCTGAGGTGGTTGGAACGGAAGGTATAAACCATTCAGGTGGGAAGAAGAGTCAAGACACCCAGATTCCATGGAGGGACCGGTGGAGAGAAAAAAAGGTGTGGCTGGTGGATGAAGGAACCACGGAGAAGTAGGCCTCTGTTACCCCTTTTCCACCAAAAAAGAAATGGTTCGGAACTGGTGCTGGTTCGGAGTTGGTTCAACTTGCGAACCCGTTCTGAACCTGTTTGTATTTCCAATGACTAAAGCGGCCAGGGAATGACGTCATTACGTCACTGTGTACATCGCCATACGTCTTAGCTAGAAATGCTTGCAAGTACAACATTACTTTGGGATTATCTTTAACTCGTGTACCAAGAAGGCTTTAAAAACAATTGAAATATGTAAGTCTTTTAATCTTTTCATTTGATATGTAATCTTTTCTGATAAGTTGTGTACCCCTGTCTTGTGTCTTTTTTTCTTTCCATTTATTTGTTCTATATTGTGACTGTTTCTTCTTTTTTTCTGATAATGTTTTCAAAAAAAAAAAACTTTTAGAAATGCTTGCTCCAACTTCAAGCATAACAATTACAAAGGCGGACTTTGTCCTGGCTTTGCGATCCTTTTTTATGGTCAGAAAAGATGTTTAGTAAGCGTCTAAACTCGCCCCAGCCCCCGGCGTAAGCATGACATGGTAAAAGAACGGTTCTAGTAAAGTCTAGCAAAGAGTTGCAAAGTTGCAAAGTCTAGCAAAAACTCTAGCAAACTGTTGGTGCCACTTTAGAACCAGTTTTCCCGGCCGAGAACCGGTTCTTTGGCTGTCGAAACACAAAGAACCGGTTCCCGGGCAGGCACCTTCTCTGAACCGGCTCTCAAAATGCTTTGGTGGAAAAGGGGCTTGTGAGACCAGTGAATCCACTTCTCCTGACAATGCTGTATGGCTGAAGGTCCACAGTGTTGCCCTCTGCATTTTACACCAGGGCGGAGCCATGGGAACTGAAGACCAAAGTGGAGTTAGAGGGCTTGATACCAAGGTGCAGAGTGAGGGATAAAAGACCAAATCAATACCAAGCACAGGGGTCTAAAGGGAACCAGACGGTAAGAGGAGTGAGTTGGTGATGAAGGCTCAGAAGACAGAGCCAGTAAGAGTGAGGACAAAGAAGTTGTCGGAGGAATGGTGCCAGCCGGACCCAGTCGAAGCTAGAGGAGGGGGTTGAGCCAGAGAAGCCAATGAAGCCAGAAGAGGAGGCGGAGCCAGAAAACTGAATTGAGGCTGCAGAGGGGGTGGAACCAGAGAGCTGGGTAGGACAAGCGAAGACGAATGAGCCACAGAGCCGTGTAGTACCGGTGGAGATGAAGGAGCCAGGCAGGACCAGCGGAAATGAAGGAACCAGGGAGCCGGGCGGAAAAAAGTAAGAACAAAGGATTTAATGGAGGAGAAAGGCCTTGAGAACAAGTAGGAAACGGCGAGTCCAATATTCCAACTGGAATAGAACTGAGTCTCAAACATCAGCTTTTTATAGGGAGTATTTTTTTTTAATTATGGACAATTGAGTAAGCATGCTAATATGAAAATTAGATTAGTAGTTAACTCATTTATTGTTAATGTGCTAAATAATACAAATTATTACAATAACTACACAGGACAATGAACTGAACCACACACATGACTTAAAATACGCACATGATAATGAGAAACTAAACAAGACACAGTTGAACACATTCGGTAACAAAGAGAACAAACTAACTGAGCTTATACGTGACATAACCCCCTTCCCCCTCCCCCCACACCCCTGAGGGAGGGGGAGGTATAATCCATACTGGGGTGGGTAGGTGGGCCAAGATACCCAGGCGAAAAAGTCCATGCAGGGACCAGTGGAGAGAGAAACCAAGGATTGGCTTGTGGACGAAGGAACCACAGATAAGTAGATGGGGAAGACTCCTTGCAACACCAGTGAATTCACTTCTGCTGATGATTCTGGAGGGCTGAAGGTCCACAGCAGTTCCTTCCCCAGTTTTGACAAGGGCGAAACCATGGGAACTGAAGACCAAAGTGGAGTAAGGTGTGCTGGATACCAAGGGTCAAATGGAGGGATGAACAACCAAATTGGCAACGCAGGCACTGGGGTCCAGGGCAGAACCGAAGGGTCAGAGGACTGAGGTGGAAAAGAGGGCTCGGAAGGCAGAACTGGAGGCAGTGTGAGTGAGGACAAAGGAGAAGCCAAAGTGCCGGAGTAGCAAGTAGAGCCAAACGGCTGGAGAGATGAGGCATTGCCAGAGGCAGAGCTGGTGTCTCAGGAAAGATGAGGCAAACCGGGCAAATGAGCAGAGCCAGTGAAGGGTGTGGATCCACTACCAGTTAAAATGTTTATAATGGAATATAACTTATTCTTCTAACAATGATACTTTGATTGTAATACATAAACTTAATTGTATGAACATAAGTCATTGTTAGCTTCTTAGTAATATTTCGTAAATATTTTTTTTCTCTATATGTCCATATATCACAGCATCCACTGTCACTACAACCATTTCTTCAACTGACTCACAAACACCTACTCCTTCTACAAGTGAGTACTTTTTATGGACAACTGTGTAAACTATTAGCTGTATTTTATAATTTTTTATTACCAATGAAGTTGTATTATGATAATTGTGTCTAACAGTTTCTCCTACGAGATGTAATTCATGTAGATAGATAATTATGACATTTCAGTTGAAAAAAACTGTTAACACAGTTTACAGATGCTGTCATATTATCTTTTATTAAAAGTTTTTGCAAAACAGAATTTAATTTTATGCAGTGATGTCATTTTAAGTATGTCAACGAATATTACTCTCATAATGTTTCTATTCATACATCTTAAATATTTTAGCGCCCCCTACCACTGCAAGCAGTACTTCAACTGACTCAACACCACCAACTATATCATGTGAGTATTTTTATTTATGGACAGTTGAGTAAACAAGTTAATAGAAAAATGATTTAAGTAGTTCATTCATTTTAGTGTTAATGTGGTAAATGTTAATAATCATAACAATAACAAAACTACACTAGGAAGTGAACAATTCACAAGACTTAAAAAGCACCCAGAATGACACAGGATAATCAGAATCTAAACAAGACACAGGTGAACACAATGATTAACCAATGAAACAAACTAACTGAGCTTAGATGTAACATCATCTTCCCCACCCCTGAGGTGGTTGGAACGGAAGGTATAAACCATTCAGGTGGGAAGAAGAGTCAAGACACCCAGATTCCATGGAGGGACCGGTGGAGAGAAAAAAAGGTGTGGCTGGTGGATGAAGGAACCACGGAGAAGTAGGAGGAGGAGGCCTCTGTTACCCCTTTTCCACCAAAAAAGAAATGGTTCGGAACTGGTGCTGGTTCAAAGTTGGTTCGGAGTTGGTTCAACTTGCGAACCCGTTCTGAACCTGTTTGTATTTCCACTGACTAAAGCGGCCAGGGAATGACGTCATTACGTCACTGTGTACGTCGCCATATGTCTTAGCTAGAAACGCTTGAAAGTACAACATTACTTTGGGATTATCTTTAACTCGTGTACCAAGAAGGCTTTAAAAACAATTGAAATATGTAAGTCTTTTAATCTTTTCATTTGATATGTAATCTTTTCTGATAAGTTGTGTACCCCTGTCTTGTGTCTTTTTTTCTTTCCATTTATTTGTTCTATATTGTGACTGTTTTTTTTTTTCTGATAATGTTTTCAAAAAAAAAAAACTTTTAGAAATGCTTGCTCCAACTTCAAGCATAACAATTACAAAGGCGGACTTTGTCCTGGCTTTGCGATCCTTTTTTATGGTCAGAAAAGATGTTTAGTAAGCGTCTAAACTCGCCCCAGCCCCCGGCGTAAGCATGACGTGGTAAAAGAACGGTTCTAGTAAAGTCTAGCAAAGAGTTGCAAAGTTGCAAAGTCTAGCAAAAACTCTAGCAAACTGTTGGTGCCACTTTAGAACCAGTTTTCCCGGCCGAGAACCGGTTCTTTGGCTGTCGAAACACAAAGAACCGGTTCGCGGGCAGGCACCTTCTCCGAACCGGCTCTCAAAATGCTTTGGTGGAAAAGGGGCTTGTGAGACCAGTGAATCCACTTCTCCTGACAATGCTGTATGGCTGAAGGTCCACAGTGTTGCCCTCTGCATTTTACACCAGGGCGGAGCCATGGGAACTGAAGACCAAAGTGGAGTTAGAGGGCTTGATACCAAGGTGCAGAGTGAGGGATAAAAGACCAAATCAATACCAAGCACAGGGGTCTAAAGGGAACCAGACGGTAAGAGGAGTGAGTTGGTGATGAAGGCTCAGAAGACAGAGCCAGTAAGAGTGAGGACAAAGAAGTTGTCGGAGGAATGGTGCCAGCCGGAGCCAGCCGAAGCTAGAGGAGGGGGTTGAGCCAGAGAAGCCAATGAAGCCAGAAGAGGAGGCGGAGCCAGAAAACTGAATTGAGGCTGCAGAGGGGGTGGAACCAGAGAGCTGGGTAGGACAAGCGAAGACGAATGAGCCACAGAGCCGTGTAGTACCGGTGGAGATGAAGGAGCCAGGCAGGACCAGCGGAAATGAAGGAACCAGGGAGCCGGGCGGAAAAAAGTAAGGACAAAGGATTTAATGGAGGAGAAAGGCCTTGAGAACAAGTAGGAAACGGTGAGTCCAATATTCCAACTGGAATAGAACTGAGTCTCAAACATCAGCTTTTTATAGGGAGTATTTTTTTTTAATTATGGACAATTGAGTAAGCATGCTAATATGAAAATTAGATTAGTAGTTAACTCATTTATTGTTAATGTGCTAAATAATACAAATTATTACAATAACTACACAGGACAATGAACTGAACCACACACATGACTTAAAATACGCACATGATAATGAGAAACTAAACAAGACACAGTTGAACACATTCGGTAACAAAGAGAACAAACTAACTGAGCTTATACGTGACATAACCCCCTTCCCCCTCCCCCCACACCCCTGAGGGAGGGGGAGGTATAATCCATACTGGGGTGGGTAGGTGGGCCAAGATACCCAGGCGAAAAAGTCCATGCAGGGACCAGTGGAGAGAGAAACTAAGGATTGGCTTGTGGACGAAGGAACCACAGACAAGTAGATGGGGAAGACTCCTTGCAACACCAGTGAATCCACTTCTGCTGATGATTCTGGAGGGCTGAAGGTCCACGGCGGTTCCTTCCCCAGTTTTGACCAGGGCGGAGCCATGGGAACTGAAGACCAAAGTGGAGTAAGGTGTGCTGGATACCAAGGGTCAAATGGAGGGATGAAGAACCAAATTGGCAACGCAGGCACTGGGGTCCAGGGCAGAACCGAAGGGTCAGAGGACTGAGGTGGAAAAGAGGGCTCGGAAGACAGAACTGGAGGCAGTGTGAGTGAGGACAAAGGAGAAGCCAAAGGGCCGGAGTAGCAAGTAGAGTCAAATGGCTGGAGGGATGAGGCATTGCCAGAGGCAGAGCTGGTGTCTCAGGAAAGATGAGGCAAACCGTGCAAATGAGCAGAGCCAGTGAAGGGTGTGGATCTACTACCAGTTAAAATGTTTATAATGGAATATAACTTATTCTTCTAACAATGATACTTTGATTGTAATACATAAACTTAATTGTATGAACATAAGTCATTGTTAGCTTCTTAGTAATATTTCGTAAATATTTTTTTTCTCTATATGTCCATATATCACAGCATCCACTGTCACTACAACCATTTCTTCAACTGACTCACAAACACCTACTCCTTCTACAAGTGAGTACTTTTTATGGACAACTGTGTAAACTATTAGCTGTATTTTATATTTTTTTATTACCAATGAAGTTGTATTATGATAATTGTGTCTAACAGTTTCTCCTACGAGATGTAATTCATGTAGATAGATAATTATGACATTTCAGTTGAAAAAAACTGTTAACACAGTTTACAGATTCTGTCATATTATCTTTTATTAAAAGTTTTTGCAAAACAGAATTTAATTGTATGCAGTGATGTCATTTTAAGTATGTCAACGAATATTACTCTCATAATGTTTCTATTCATACATCTTAAATATTTTAGCGCCCCCTACCACTGCAAGCAGTACTTCAACTGACTCAAAACCACCAACTATATCATGTGAGTATTTTTATTTATGGACAGTTGAGTAAACAAGTTAATAGAAAAATGATTTCAGTAGTTCATTCATTTTAGTGTTAATGTGGTAAATGTTAATAATCATAACAATAACAAAACTAGACTAGGAAGTGAACATTTCACAAGACTTAAAAAGCACACAGAATGACACAGGATAATCAGAATCTAAACAAGACACAGGTGAACACAATGATTAACCAATGAAACAAACTAACTGAGCTTAAATGTAACATCATCTTCCCCACCCCTGAGGTGGTTGGAACGGAAGGTATAAACCATTCAGGTGGGAAGAAGAGTCAAGACACCCAGATTCCATGGAGGGACCGGTGGAGAGAAAAAAAGGTGTGGCTGGTGGATGAAGGAACCACGGAGAAGTAGGAGGAGGAGGCCTCTGTTACCCCTTTTCCACCAAAAAAGAAATGGTTCGGAACTGGTGCTGGTTCAAAGTTGGTTCGGAGTTGGTTCAACTTGCGAACCCGTTCTGAACCTGTTTGTATTTCCACTGACTAAAGCGGCCAGGGAATGACGTCATTACGTCACTGTGTACGTCGCCATATGTCTTAGCTAGAAACGCTTGCAAGTACAACATTACTTTGGGATTATCTTTAACTCGTGTACCAAGAAGGCTTTAAAAACAATTGAAATATGTAAGTCTTTTAATCTTTTCATTTGATATGTAATCTTTTCTGATAAGTTGTGTACCCCTGTCTTGTGTCTTTTTTTCTTTCCATTTATTTGTTCTATATTGTGACTGTTTCTTCTTTTTTTCTGATAATGTTTTCAAAAAAAAAAACTTTTTGAAATGCTTGCTCCAACTTCAAGCATAACAATTACAAAGGCGGACTTTGTCCTGGCTTTGCGATCCTTTTTTATGGTCAGAAAAGATGTTTAGTAAGCGTCTAAACTCGCCCCAGCCCCCGGCGTAAGCATGACGTGGTAAAAGAACGGTTCTAGTAAAGTCTAGCAAAGAGTTGCAAAGTTGCAAAGTCTAGCAAAAACTCTAGCAAACTGTTGGTGCCACTTTAGAACCAGTTTTCCCGGCCGAGAACCGGTTCTTTGGCTGTCGAAACACAAAGAACCGGTTCGCGGGCAGGCACCTTCTCCGAACCGGCTCTCAAAATGCTTTGGTGGAAAAGGGGCTTGTGAGACCAGTGAATCCACTTCTCCTGACAATGCTGTATGGCTGAAGGTCCACAGTGTTGCCCTCTGCATTTTACACCAGGGAGGAGCCATGGGAACTGTAGACCAAAGTGGAGTTAGGGGGCTTGATACCAAGGTGCAGATGGAGGGATAAAAGACCAAATCAATACCAAGCACAGGGGTCTAAAGGGAACCAGACAATAAGAGGAGTGAGGTGGCGATGAAGGCTCAGAAGACAGAGCCAGTAAGAGTGAGGACAAAGGAGTTGTCGGAGGGATGGAGCCAGCCGGACCCAGCCGAAGCTCGAGGAGAGGGTTGAGCCAGAGAAGCCAATGAAGCCAGAAGAGGAGGCAGAGCCAGAAAACTGAATTGAGGCTGCAGAGGGGGTGGAACCAGAGAGCTGGGTAGGACAAGCGAAGACGAACGAGCCACAGAGCCATGTAGTACCGGTGGAGACGAAGGAGCTAGGCAGGACCAGTAGAAATGAAGGAACATGGGAGCCGGGCGGAACAAGTAAGGACAAAGGAATTAATGGAGGAGGAAGGGCTTAAGAAGAATTGGAAACGGCGAGTCCAATATTCCAACTGGAATAGAACTGAGTCTCAAACATCAGCTTTTTATAGGGAGTAATTTTTCTAATTATGGACAATTTAGTAAGCATGTTATTATGAAAATTAGATTAGTAGTAAACTCATTTTAGTGTTAATGTGCTAAATAATACAAATTATTACAATAACTGCAATAACTACACAGGACAATGAACTGAACCAAACATATGACTTAAAATACGCACAAGATAATGAGAAACTAAACAAGACACAGTTGAACACATTCGGTAACCAAGAGAACAAACTAACTGAGCTTAGACGTGACATAACCCCCTTCCCCCACACCCCTGAGGGAGGGGGAGGTATAATCCTTACTGGGGTGGCCAGGTGGGCCAAGATACCCAGGCAAAAAAGTCCATGCAGGGACCAGTGTAGAGAGAAACCAAGGAGTGTCTTGTGGACGAAAGAACCACGGACAAGTAGATGGGGAAGACTCCTTGCGACACCAGTGAATCCACTTCTGCTGATGATTCTGGTGGGCTGAAGGTCCACGGCGGTTCCCTCCCCAGTTTTGACCTGGGCGGAGCCGTGGGAACTGAAGACCAAAGTGGAGTAAGGTGTGCTGGATACCAAGGGTCAGATGGAGGGATGAAGAACCAAATTGGCACCGCAGGCACTGGGGTCCAAGGCGGAACCGAAGAGTCAGAGGACTGAGGTGGAGATGAGGGCTCGGAAGACAGAGCTGGAGGCAGTTGGAGTGAGGACAAAGGAGAAGCCAAAGGGGCGGAGTAGCAAGTAGAGCCAAATGGCTGGAGGGATGAGGCATTGCCAGAGGCAGAGCTGGTGTCTCAGGAAAGATGAGGCAAACCAGGCAAATGAGCAGAGCCAGTGAAGGGTGTGGATCCACTACCAGTTAAAATGTTCATAATTGAATATAAGTTATTCTTCTAACAACGATACTTTGATTGTAATACATAAAATAATTATATGAACATATGCCATTGTTGGCTTCTAAGTAATATTTCGTAATTTTTTTTCTCTATATGTCCATATATCACAGCATCCACTGTCACTACAACCATTTTATCAACTGCTTCTACAAGTGAGACACCTACACTTACTCCTTCTACAAGTGAGTACTTTTCATGGACAACTGTGTAAACTATTAGCTGTATTTTATAATTTTTTATTACCAACGAAGTTGTATTATGATAATTGTGTCTAACAGTTTCTCCTAAAAGATGTAATTCATATAGACAGACAATTATGACTTTTCAGTTGAAAAAACGTCTCAGGTTACGACTGTAACGATACAATACGTCGAATGACGCAATGGGGGAACGCCTCAGGCGTGACAGGTGTCTGAAATCAAATATCAACTCACAGTAATCAGGTTGACCAGCGACAGCCCTTGCATCATCAGCTTGAATGATGAGCGCGTCAATCTGGATGTATAAGAAGGGCGCCTTGAAACCGTGACAACATCCTATCGTCTGAAGGGACTGTTGCAGGCAGGCCCCGAGGCATGGCAACGAGACGTATTGTCTCGTTCCCTTTTCTCAGGGAACATAGGTTACAGTCGTAACCTGAGACGTTCCCTTTCGAAGGGAACTCAACAATACGTCGAATGACGCAATGGGGAACGAAATACCCACTCCGCCATGCTGAGGGGAGTGCATGCCGAAAAGGCAGTGACAACTGTCAGAACCAGTAATTCCAAGGAACACTGAAACCACTCACCCTATGTTACATCGGGCTGTCAGTGACAACACTCCCTACCGGTCATAGCACAAGCTAATGAATCAAGAAAAACCAGAACGTAATAACGTGGGTAAATCTGGGCCAGCTCAAAGGCTTTAGGACCACAACTTCAAAATAGAAGGGGTCCCTTCTAGGGAGTGTGGCTAGAGGGGCCAAAGGGACCTCCAGCCAGTCACTATTGAGGAGAACACTCCTCCTGAAATGGCCCCAGGCTGGCCTGGTGATCTGTAATAAGACACACAGTCTGGCCATAGCCTGTCCGTCCAAGACTGAGCCTCTGGAAATTGCCTAGGAAAGGCATCCAAAAACTGAAGGCCCGCGAAGCTGGCAGAAACCATCGAGTTTCGGATCACAGAGACGGGGTCCTCCGGAGAGTTTGACTCAACCTCAAAACAACGGGAATCGTACACTCAATCCACGAGTTTCCACCCAGTGCTCAGTAAGAGAGGGATCAAAATCAGGAAGGTCAATGAGACCTAAGACCTGATGTGGGGAGCTCTGAAACATGAGGGCTCATGTCAGGAAGGCCGTACATTGTGCGGCCTGAAACCCAACGACCACAGCATGTGGAAGCTCATCCTTCAGGAAAGCCAGAGGCTAGAAACCTGACAGACCCACAATGTGGGGCTACCTCGAAAAAGGTCTAATGAGACCTAAAACCACCAGTTGTGGGAGATAGCTTGAACAAGGGAAGTGCCTGTCGTAATGTATTGCGACAAAGACACATCTAGAGTGGGACCCAAAGTGAAGAACCGGAGTCTGAACCACATAAGAAGGGACCGAAGCATACCGTGCGTGACCCTCACCATAAGAAATGGATTTTAAAAAGTGCACAAGACATCTCGTCAGGTGACTTACCACAATAATAGGTGAAGTATGGGTTTGTGTACTTCACTCTGAATTCAGGAAGGCCTGTTGAGGCCTGTAACCTGGCGACCACATCAGGTGGGAGCTCGTACTCAGGAAGGTCAGTGAGACCCAGCCTGGTGTACCTGAAAAACCACACCAAGTGGGAGCTACTTCCAAAAGTTAGCTCTTAAGAACTCTTAAAGTGGGACCCGAGGAAAGACCAGGGTCTGAACCACATAACAAGGGACCGAAGCATACCACGCGTGACCCTCACCATAAGAAATGGATTTTAAGAAGTGCACAAGACATCTCGTCGGGTGACTTACCACAATAATAGGTGAAGTATGGGTTTTTGTACTTCATTCTGAATTCAGGAAGGCCTGGTGAGGCCTGTAACCTGGCGACCACAGTATGTGGGAGTTCGTAACCTGGCTACCACAGTATGTGGGAGCTCATAACCATGAATGCCTAGTGAGGCCTAAAACCTGGCGACCACAAAATGTGGGAGCTCATACCCAGGGAGGCCTGGTAAGGCCTATGACCTAGCGACCAAATCGGGTGCGAGCTCGTAATCCGGAAGGTCAGTAAGACCTAGCCTGGTGACCACAACCTGTGGGAGCTTTCAGGAAGACCTGATAAGGCCTGTACATGTAAACACCACACCAAGTGGGAGCTACTTCCAGAAGTTAGCTCTTAAGAACTCTTAAAGTGGGACCCGAGAAAAGACCGGGGTCTGAGCCACATAAGAAGGGACCGAAGCATACCGCGCATGACCCTCACCATAAGAAATGGATTTTAAAAAGGTGCACAAGACATATTGTTGTGTGACTTACCACAATAACAGGTGAAGTATGGGTTTGTGTACTTCACTCTGAATTCAGGAAGGCCTGGTGATGCCTGTAACCCAGCAACCACAATATGTGGGAGCTCATAACCAGGAAGGCCTGTTGAGGCCTGTAACCTGGCGACCACAGTGTGTGGGAGCTCATGACCAGGAAGGCCTGGTAAGGCCCGTAACCTGGCGACCACATCGGGTGGGAGCTCGTACTCAGGAAGGTCAGTGAGACCCAGCCTGGTGACCACAACCTGTGGGAGCTTACTCCACCAAGTGGAAGCTACTTCTTCCAGAAGTTAGCCAGAGAAGGGCATCCCTGTAGCCTACTTAAGTGACAGGACCTCTTAAAGTGGGACCCAAGGGAAGACCGGGGTCTGAGCCACATAAGAAGGGACCGAAGCATACCGCGCGTGACCCTTACCATAAGAAAAGGATTTTAGAAAGCACACAAGACATCCCGTCATGTGATTTACCACAATAATAGGTGAAGTATGGGTTCGTGTACTACACTCTGAATTCAGGAAGGCCGAACTTGAGGCCTGTAACCTGGCAGCCACAACATGTGGGAACCCATAATCAGGAAGGCCTGACAAGGCCTAACACCCAATAGTCCCAATGCGTGGGGAGCTCACATTCAGGAAGGCCGCTGAGGCCTGCAGCCTGACATGTGAAGACTCACAACTACACCTTAGCGACCACGGTAAGTGGGGGTTTCACATTCAGGAAGGCCTGGTAAAGCTTGCAACCTGACATGTGACAACTCACAACCAGGAAGGCCAATGAAGCCTGAAGCCTGGTGACCACAGAGTGGGAGCAAAAGTGCTCAGGAAAGGTGGTGAGGCTGTAGTCTGGCACAGTATGTGGGAGCTCATATCAGGAAGGCCTGGTGAAGCCTGTAACCCAGCGACCACAGCATATGGGAGCTCATAACCAGGAAGGCCTGGTGAGGACTGTAACCTGGCGACCACAATAAGTGGGAGCTCATAACCAGGAAGGCCTGGTGAGGCCTGTAACCCGGCAACCACAGTATGTGGGAGCTCCCACAGATGTTTCTCCGTGACCACCATAGCACCGACGTAACAGCAGATTGCTTGGTGGCCCGGAGTCCCGCAGCAGATCGGTCTGGTAGGCCTGAGGACCACAAGGGTGTGCAGAACCGCACCTGCCTGACCTGCTGCCGTGTACTCTCTGTCATTCAAGCATGAAGATGTCTTGAGCAGCTTGGATGACAGGTTCAGAGCTCTTAGTGAAGAGGACCAACCAGAGGCGAGATAGTTATCCAACGTCTCGTCCACTGGCGTCATCGACACATATCCGTGCTCCACGGCTCCCTCCACAGCAGCGAAACTAGCCCGCTGAAGCAGATAGAGACGTGAGGAGAACGGATTCTTCCATACCCTCTCGATCCCAGAGTGGAGATCGGAAAGGAATGGAAGGCTCATCCGGGCTGGTGGCTTATGGGTGGCAAGGAACCAGCCATCCAAAATACCATGAGCGGGCTCCTCCCAGACGCGCCTCCACTGCAACTGCAATCTGTCTGTGGCGCGCCCCATAATGTCAACCAGCTCAGCGTACACTGGACAGGAGGGCTGAAATGGTTTGGTCTCAACCAAACTGACATCCTTTCCTATATATATATATATGTATATATACAGTATATATTACAGCCAACTCCTGCCCTGCCCGAAGAGAACAGTTACAGATTCACCAAAGAGAGAGACCCCTCATTTTCTCTCTTCTTACATGTTCAACATTAATCTGTAACTCACCCTCGTCAGCTGGTAGATCATCCGCGAGGTTAGCGCCCCTCTCCCGATAATCTGCCAGCTCCATCTGAAAGCTCCACGAGCTCAACCGCCACTGAGCCTCAGCCCGAGCGGGAACGCGGGGTTCAGATGCCGCACCCACTTCCCTCGAGAAGTGGGTCAGACGAGAGCAGAGAGTTCTGAAAGGAAAACTCTCAGTTCGCGCAAAAAAACTCCCTCGAGAGCTTCCCGCGCATGCTCTTCTCTCAGACAGAACACGCACAGATCGTGTGAATCCTCCGGTGTCAAATATCTGGACACAAATCGGCACACTCGCGCAAAGTGTTTCTCCACGTCTCTGCCCGCTTAATCGTTGATACTATCACACAGACAAACAGTCCCTGAAGACGAAAAGATGTTGTCACGGTTTCAAGGCGCCCTTCTTATACATCCAGATTGATGCGCTCATCATTCAAGCTGATGATGCACGGGCTGTCGCCGGTCAACCTGATTACTGTGAGTTGATATTTGATTTCAGACACCTGTCACGCCTGAGGCGTTCCCCCATTGTGTCATTCGACGTATTGTTGAGTTCCCTTCGAAAGGGAACTCTGTTAACACAGTTTACAGATGCTGTCACATTATCTTTTATTAAAAGTTTTTGCAAAACAGAATTTAATTTTATGCAGTGATGTCATTTTAAGTATGTCAACGAATATTACTTGCATAATGTTTCTATTCATACATCTAAATATTTTAGCACCCCCTGCCACTACAAGCAGTACTTCAACTGACTCAACACCACCAACTATATCATGTGAGTATTTTTATTTATGGACAGTTGAGTAAACAAGTTAATAGAAAAATGATTTCAGTAGTTCGTTCATTTTAGTGTCAATGTGGTAATTGTTAATAATCATTACAATAACAAAACTAGACTAGGAAGTGAACAATTCACAAGACTTATAAAGCACCCAGAATGACACAGGATAGTCAGAATCTAAACAAGACACAGGTGAACACAATGATTAACCAAGGAAACAAACTAACTGAGCTTAGATGTAACATCATCCTGCCCACCCCTGAGGAGGTTGGAACGGAAGGTATAATCCATTCAGGTGGGAAGAAGGTTCAAGACACCTAGAGTCCATGGAGGGACCGGTGGAAAGAGAAAAAAAAGGTGTTGCCGGTGGATGAAGGAACCACGGAGCAGTAGGAGGAGGAGGCCTCTGTTACCCCTTTTCCACCAAAAAAGAATTGGTTAGGAACTGGTGCTGGTTCAAAGTTGGTTCGGAGTTGGTTCAACTTGCGAACCCGTTCAGAACCTGTTTGTATTTCCACTGACTAAAGCGCCCAGGAAACTATGTCGTTACGTCACTGTGTACGTCGTCATACGTCTTAGCTAGAAATGCTTGCAAGTACAACATTACTTTGGGATTATCCCTAACTCGTGTACCAAGAAGGCTTTAAAAACAATTGAAATATGTAAGTCTTTTAATCTTTTCATTTGATATGTAATCTTTTCTGATAAGTTGTGTACCCCTGTCTTGTGTCTTTTTTTCTTTCCATTTATTTGTTCTATATTGTGACAGTTTCTTCTTTGCTTATGTTTTCAAAAAAAAAAAAAACGCTTAGAAATGCTTGCACCAACTTCAAGCATAACAATTACAAAGGTGGACTTTGTCCTGGCTTTGCGATCCTTTATTATGGTCAGAAAAGATGTTTAGAATGCATCTAAACTCGCCCCAGCCCTTGACGTAAGCATGACGTGGTAAAAGATTGGTTCTAGTCCAGCAAAGAGTTGGTGCCACTTTGGAACCAGTTTTCCTGGCAGAGAACCGGTTCTTTGGCTGTCGAAACACAAAGAACTGGTTCGCGGGCAGGCACCGGCTCCGAACCGGCTCTCAAAATGTTTCGGTGGAAAAGGGGCTTGTGAGACCAGTGAATCCACTTCTGCTGACAATGCTGTATGGCTGAAGGTCCACAGTGTTGCCCTCTGCATTTTACACCAGGGAGGAGCCATGGGAACTGAAGACCAAAGTGGAAATAGGGGGCTTGATACCAAGGTGCAGATGGAGGGATAAAAGACCAAATCAATACCAAGCACAGGGGTCTAAATGGAACCAGACGGTAAGAGGAGTGAGGTGGCGTTGAAGGCTCAGAAGACAGAGCCAGTAAGAGTGAGGACAAAGGAGTTGTTGGAGGGATGGAGCCAGCCGGACCCAGCCGAAGCTCGAGGAGGGGGTTGAGCCAGAGAAGCCAATGAAGCCAGAAGAGGAGGCGAAGCCAGAAAACTGAATTGAGGCTGCAGAGGGGGTGGAACCAGAGAGCTGGGTAGGACAAACGAAGACGAACGAGCCACAGAGCCGTGTAGTACCGGTGGAGATAAAGGAGCTAGGCAGTACCAGCAGAAATGAAGGAACCAGGGAGCCGGGCGGAACAAGTAAGGACAAAGGAATTAATGGAGGAGGAAGGGCTTGAGAACAATAGGAAACGTCGAATCCAATATTCCAACTGGAATAGAACTGAGTCTCAAACATCAGCTTTTTATAGGGAGTAATTTTTCTAATCATGGACAATTGAGTAAGCATGTTATTATGAAAATTAGATTAGTAGTTAACTCATTTTAGTGTTAACCCCCTGAGCCCGACGGCGTCGTCGACGATGCCACACGTCACCTCCGATAAATGTTTACATAACTCGATGACAGATTTATCGATTTTCTTACCGTTTTTTCCAGCAGAAAGCTAACGAGCTAGCCATCACGGGGGTATCTTTCGGGTCTTTCTAGCCTTTACAGAAGGTTTTCTATCCAGCCTGGAACTTGTGCTTCCTTTCAGAGGTTTTCAGCAATAAATACAAACGCTTTATGTCAAACTTTGATAATCTTGAAGCCCATAATTCATAAATATTCGGTCATTTTTGCCGCTAGCTCAATGCTAGCGGACATCCTGGATATCACGTGATGTTTTCACGTGATGGTTTTTGACCAATTACAGGCTGATCCGTTGTAAACATTGGTGTGCGTCATTACGCATGAACCAAGCGCTGATATAGTGTAGAGAGATAGAGAGACTCACGGAGACGCGCGATTCACAGAGAAACACAGCGAAATGGACGTAAATAAAGCGCTGGTCTATTTGGTGCATTGCAGGATGAAGGATTTTCAGGAGAACAGAGCTTTTTGACAGATGAGAAACTAGATTACCAGGATAGACCCAGCTGAAGTGCCATTTATTTATTTACTGTAAAAAAGTATTATAGTGGTATAAATGTATTATAAAGAATAAAAAGAACATAATAAATAAAAGAATAAATAAAATAGAAATGCAAAACCTGTGATGTGGCCTCTGTGTGATTGCTGATAGGAACTGTTTTGAGGCTTGGCACCAGTGAATTTCATGAGGCCCCAAACGCCTGGACTTCTTTTGGAAAAATGCCAATAGTTTTTGTTCTGTACAAGTTATAATGTTTATTCCTGTGCTCCAGGACTCCAAAGACATGAACAAACTATTTTCCAGAGGAAAATTGCTTAGCTTTTATTTATTTGTGTGTGATTTCAATAAATAATTGAGTGATTCCATTTCCGATTTATTTTTCCATTTGTCTTTATGGTCCCATAACTTATTTTACATTCAGGTGACATCAATGTAACACAAATATGCTGAAAGTTCAATTTGTCCTGAAAAAAAAGAGGTGTGTCAATTGTCTGTGCACCAAAGGGTTGATATTTTACAAGCTTTTTTAGTAAATGACACCAGACGGAAAATTTTTTGTAAAAATACCCTTAGGTCTCAGAGGGTTAATGTGCTAAATAATACAAATTATTACAATAACTACAATAACTACACACGACAATGAACTGAACCAAACACATGACTTAAAATACGCACATGATAATGAGAAACTAAACAAGACACAGTTGAACACATTCGGTAACGAAGAAAACAAACTAAGTGAGCTTAGATGTGACATAACCCCCTTCCCCCTCCCCCCACACCCCTGAGGGAGGGGGAGGTATAATCCATACTGGGGTGGCCAGGTGGGCCAAGATACCCAGGCAAAAAAGTCCATGCAGGGACCAGTGGAGAGAGAAACCAAGGAGTGGCTTGTGGACGAAGGAACCACAGACAAGTAGATGGGGAAGACTCCTTGCGACACCAGTGTATCCACTTCTGCTGATGATTCTGGAGGGCTGAAGGTCCACGGCGGTTCCCTCCCCAGTTTTGACCTGGGCAGAACTGTGGGAACTGAAGACCAAAGTAGAGTAAGGTGTGCTGGATACCAAGGGTCAAATAGAGGGATGAAGAACCAAATTGGCACCGCAGGCACTGGGGTCCAAGGCGGAACCGAAGAGTCAGGGGCCTGAGGTGGAGATGAGGGCTCGCAAGACAGAGCTGGAGGCAGTTGGAGTGAGGACAAAGGAGAAGCCAAAGGGGCGGAGTAGCAAGTAGAGCCAAATGGCTGGAGGGATGAGGCATTGCCAGAGGCAGAGCTTGTGTCTCAGGAAAAATGAGGCATACCAGGTAAATGAGCAGAGCCAGTGAAGGGTGTGGATCCACTACCAGTTGAAATGTTTATAATTGAATATAAGTTATTCTTCTAACAATGATACTTTGATTGTAATACATAAAATGAATTGTATGAACATATGTCGTTGATAACTTCTAAGTAATATTTCGCGATTTTTTTTTTCTATATGTCCATATATCACAGCATCCACTGTCACTACAACCATTTCATCAACTTCTTCTACAAGTGAGACACCTACACCTACTCCTTCTACAAGTGAGTACTTTTCATGGACAAATGTGTAAACTATTAGCTGTATTTTATAATTTTTTATTACCAATGAAGTTGTATTATGATAATTGTGTCTAACAGTTTCTCCTAAAAGATGTAATTCATATAGACAATTATGACATTTCAGTTGAAAAAACTGTGTTAACACAGTTTACAGATGCTGTCATATTATCTTTTATTAAAAGTTTTTGCAAAACAGAATTTAATTTTGCAGTGATATCATTTTAAGTATGTCAACGAATATTACTTGCATAATGTTTCTATTCATACATCTAAATATTTTAGCACCCCCTGCCACTACAAGAAGTACTTCAACTGACTCAACACCACCAACTATATCATGTGAGTATTTTTATTTATAGACAGTTGAGTAAACAAGTTAATAGAAAAATTATTTCAGTAGTTCATTCATTTTAGTGTTAATGTGGTAAATGTTAATAATCATAACAATAACAAAACTAGACTAGGAAGTGAACAATTCACAAGACTTAAAAAGCACCCAGAATGACACAGGATAATCAGAATCTAAACAAGACACAGGTGAACACAATGATTAACCAAGGAAACAAACTAACTGAGCTTAGATGCAACATCATCCTGCCCACCCCTGAGGAGGTTGGAACGGAAGGTATAATCCATTCAGGTGGGAAGAAGGTTCAAGACACCTAGAGTCCATGGAGGGACCGATGGAAAGAGAAAAAAAAGGTGTGGCTGGTGGACGAAGGAACCACAGAACAGTAGGAGGAGGAGGCCTCTGTTACCCCTTTTCCACCAAAAAAGAACTGGTTCCGAACTGGTGCTGGTTCAAAGTTGGTTCGGAGTTGGTTCAACTTGCGAACACGTTCAGAACCTGTTTGTATTTCCACTGACTAAAGCGTCAAGGGAACGACGTCGTTACGTCACTGTGTACATCGCCATACGTCTTAGCTAGAAACGCTTGCAAGTACAACATTACTTTGGGATTATCCCTAACTCGTGTACCAAGAAGGCTTTAAAAACAATTGAAATATGTAAGTATTTTAATCTTTTCATTTGATATGTAATCTTTTCTGATAAGTTGTGTACCCCTGTCTTGTGTCTTTTTTTCTTTCCATTTATTCGTTCTATATTGTGAATGTTTCTTCTTTGCTTATAATGTTTTCAAAAAAAAAAACGCTTAGAAATGCTTGCACCAACTTCAAGCATAACAATTACAAAGGCGGACTTTGTCCTGGCTTTGCGATCCTTTATTATGGTCAGAAAAGATGTTTAGAATGCATCTAAACTCGCCCCAGCCCCCGACGTAAGCATGACGTGGTAAAAGAACGGTTCTAGTCCAGCAAAGAGTTGGTGCCACTTTGGAACCAGTTTTCCCGGCTGAGAACCGATTCTTTGGCTGTCGAAACACAAAGAATTGGTTCGCGGGCAGGCACCGGCTCCGAACCGGCTCTAAAAATGCTTTGATGGAAAAGGGGCTTGTGAGACCAGTGAATCCACTTCTCCTGACAATGCTGTATGGCTGAAGGTCCTTAGTGTTGCCCTCTGCATTTTACACCAGGGCGGAGCCATGGGAACTGAAGACCAAAGTGGAGTTAGGGGGCTTGATACCAATGTGCAGATGGAGGGATAAAAGACCAAATCAATACCAAGCACAGGGGTCTAAAGGGAAAAAGACGGTAAGAGGAGTGAGGTGGCGATGAAGGCTCAGAAGACAGAGCCAGTAAGAGTGAGGACAAAGGAGTTGTGGGAGGGATGGAGCAAGCCGGACCCAGCCGAAGCTCGAGGAGGGGGTTGAGCCAGAGAAGCCAATGAAGCCAGAAGAGGAGGCGAAGCCAGAAAACTGAATTAAGGCTGCAGAGGGGGTGGAACCAGAGAGCTGGGTAGGACAAACGAAGACGAACGAGCCACAGAGCCGTGTAGTACCGGTGGAGATAAAGGAGCTAGGCAGGACCAGCAGAAATGAAGGAACCAGGGAGCCGGGCGGAACAAGTAAGGACAAAGGAATTAATGGAGGAGGAAGGGCTTGAGAACAATAGGAAACGTCGAATCCAATATTCCAACTGGAATAGAACTGAGTCTCAAACATCAGCTTTTTATAGGGAGTAATTTTTCTAATCATGGACAATTGAGTAAGCATGTTATTATGAAAATTAGATTAGTAGTTAACTCATTTTAGTGTTAATGTGCTAAATAATACAAATTATTACAATAACTACAATAACTACACAGGACAATGAACTGAACCAAACACATGACTTAAAATACGCACATGATAATGAGAAACTAAACAAGACACAGTTGAACACATTCGGTAACCAAGAGAGCAAACTAAGTGAGCTTAGACGTGACATAACCCCCTTCCCCCTCCCCCCACACCCCTGAGGGAGGGGGAGGTATAATCCATAATGGGGTGGCCAGGTGGGCCAAGATACCCAGGCAAAAAAGTCCATGCAGGGACCAGTGGAGAGAGAAACCAAGGAGTGGCTTGTGGACAAAGGAACCACATACAAGTAGATGGGGAAGACTCCTTGCGACATCAGTGAATTCACTTCTGCTGATGATTCTGGAGGGCTGAAGGTCCACGGCAGTTCCCTCTCCAGTTTTGACCTGGGCGGAGCCGTGGGAACTGAAGACCAAAGTGGAGTAAGGTGTGCTGGATACCAAGGGTCAAATGGAGGGATGAAGAACCAAATTGGCACCGCAGGCACTGGGGTCCAAGGCAGAACCGAAGAGTCAGAGGACTGCGGTGGAGATGAGGGCTCGGAAGACAGAGCTGGAGGCAGTTGGAGAGAGGACAAAGGAGAAGCCAAAGGGGCGGAGTAGCAAGTAGAGCCAAATGGCTGGAGGGATGAGGCATTGCCAGAGGCAGAGCTGGTGTCTCAGGAAAGATGAGGCAAACCGTGCAAATGAGCAGAGCCAGTGAAGGTTGTGGATCCACTACCAGTTAAAATGTTTATAATTGAATATAAGTTATTCTTCTAACAATGATACTTTGATTGTAATACATAAAATTAATTGTATGAACATATGTCATTGTTAGCTTCTAAGTAATATTTCGTAATTTTTTTTTCTCAATATGTCCATATATCACAGCATCCACTGTCACTACAACCATTTCATCAACTGCTTCTACAAGTGAGACACCTACACCTACTCCTTCTACAAGTGAGTACTTTTCATGGACAACTGTGTAAACTATTAGCTGTATTTTATAATTTTTTATTACCAATGAAGTTGTATTATGATAATTGTGTCTAACAGTTTCTCCTACAAGATGTAATTCATATAGATAGACAATTATGACATTTCAGTTGAAAAAACTGTGTTAACACAGTTTACAGATGCTGTCATATTATCTTTTATTAAAAGTTTTTGCAAAACAGAATTTGCAGTGATGTCATTTTAAGTATGTCAACGAATATTACTTGCATAATGTTTCTATTCATACATCTAAATATTTTAGCACCCCCTGCCACTACAAGAAGTACTTCAACTGACTCAACACCACCAACTATATCATGTGAGTATTTTTATTTATAGACAGTTGAGTAAACAAGTTAATAGAAAAATTATTTCAGTAGTTCATTCATTTTAGTGTTAATGTGGTAAATGTTAATAATCATAACAATAACAAAACTAGACTAGGAAGTGAACAATTCACAAGACTTAAAAAGCACCCAGAATGACACAGGATAAACAGAATCTAAACAAGACACAGGTGAACACAATGATTAACCAAGGAAACAAACTAACTGAGCTTAGATGTAACATCATCCTGCCCACCCCTGAGGAGGTTGGAACGGAAGGTATAATCCATTCAGGTGGGAAGAAGGTTCAAGACACCTAGAGTCCATGGAGGGACCGGTGGAAAGTGAAAAAAAAGGTGTGGCTGGTGGACGAAGGAACCACGGAGCAGTAGGAGGAGGAGGCCTCTGTTACCCCTTTTCCACCAAAAAAGAACTGGTTCGGAACTGGTGCTGGTTCAAAGTTGGTTCGGAGTTGGTTCAACTTGCGAACCTGTTCAGAATCTGTTTGTATTTCCACTGACTAAAGCACCTAGGGAACGACGTCGTTACATCACTGTGTACATTGCCATACGTCTTAGCTAGAAATGCTTGCAAGTACAACATTACTTTGGGATTATCCCTAACTCATGTACCAAGAAGGCTTTAAAAACAATTGAAATATGTCTTTTAATCTTTTCATTTGATATGTAATCTTTTCTGATAATTTGTGTACCCCTGTCTTGTGTCTTTTTTTCTTTCCATTTATTCGTTCTATATTGTGACTGTTTCTTCTTTGCTTATAATGTTTTCAAAAAAAAAAAACGCTTAGAAATGCTTGCACCAACTTCAAGCATAACAATTACAAACGCGAACTTTGTCCTGGCTTTGCGATCCTTTATTATGGTCAGAAAAGATGTTTAGAACGCATCTAAACTCGCCCCAGCCCCCGACGTAAGCATGACGTGGTATAAGAACGGTTCTAGTCCAGCAAAGAGTTGGTGCCACTTTGGAACCAGTTTTCCCGGCAGAGAACCGGTTCTTTGGCTGTCGAAACACAAAGAACTGGTTCGCGGGCAGGCACCGGCTCCGAACCGGCTCTCAAAATGCTTTGGTGGAAAAGGGGCTTGTGAGACCAGTGAATCCACTTCTCCTGACAATGCTGTATGGCTGAAGGTCTACAGTGTTGCCTCTCCGCATTTTACACCAGGGCAGAGCCATGGGAACTGAAGACCAAAGTGGAGTTAGAGGGCTTGATACCAAGGTGCAGATGGAGGGATAAAAGACCAAATCAATACCAAGCACAGGGGTCTAAAGGGAACCAGACGGTAAGAGGAGTAAGGTGGCGATGAAGGCTCAGAAGACAGAGCCAGTGAGAGTGAGGACAAAGGAGTTGTCAGAGGGATGGAGCCAGCCGGACCCAGCCGAAGCTCGAGGAGGGGGTTGAGCCAGAGAAGCCAATGAAGCCAGAAGAGGAGGCGAAGCCAGAAAACTGAATTGAGGCTGCAGAGGGGGTGGAACCAGAGAGCTGGGTAGGACAAACGAAGACGAACGAGCCACAGAGCCGTGTAGTACCGGTGGAGATAAAGGAGCTAGGCAGGACCAGCAGAAATGAAGGAACCAGGGAGCCGGGCGGAACAAGTAAGGACAAAGGAATTAATGGAGGAGGAAGGGCTTGAGAACAATAGGAAACGTCGAATCCAATATTCCAACTGGAATAGAACTGAGTCTCAAACATCAGCTTTTTATAGGGAGTAATTTTTCTAATCATGGACAATTGAGTAAGCATGTTATTATGAAAATTAGATTAGTAGTTAACTCATTTTAGTGTTAATGTGCTAAATAATACAAATTATTACAATAACTACAATAACTACACAGGACAATGAACTGAACCAAACACATGACTTAAAATACGCACATGATAATGAGAAACTAAACAAGACACAGTTGAACACATTCGGTAACCAAGAGAACAAACTAAGTGAGCTTAGACGTGACATAACCCCCTTCCCCCTCCCCCCACACCCCTGAGGGAGGGGGAGGTATAATCCATAATGGGGTGGCCAGGTGGGCCAAGATACCCAGGCAAAAAAGTCCATGCAGGGACCAGTGGAGAGAGAAACCAAGGAGTGGCTTGTGGACGAAGGAACCACAGACAAGTAGATGGGGAAGACTCCTTGCGACACCAGTGTATCCACTTCTGCTGATGATTCTGGAGGGCTGAAGGTCCACGGCGGTTCCCTCCCCAGTTTTGACCTGGGCGGAGCCGTGGGAACTGAAGACCAAAGTGGAGTAAGGTGTGCTGGATACCAAGGGTCAAATGGAGGGATGAAGAACCAAATTGGCACCGCAGGCACTGGGGTCCAAGGCGGAACCGAAGAGTCAGAGGACTGAGGTGGAGAAGAGGGCTCGCAAGACAGAGCTGGAGGCAGTTGGAGTGAGGACAAAGGAGAAGCCAAAGGGGTGGAGTAGCAAGTAGAGCCAAATGGCTGGAGGGATGAGGCATTGCCAGAGGCAGAGCTTGTGTCTCAGGAAAGATGAGGCAAACCAGGCAAATGAGCAGAGCCAGTGAAGGGTGTGGATCCACTACCAGTTAAAATGTTTATAATTGAATATAAGTTATTCTTCTAACAATGATACTTTGATTGCAATACATAAAATGAATTGCATGAACATATGTCATTGATAACTTCTAAGTAATATTTCGTGATTTTTTTTTCTATATGTCCATATATCACAGCATCCACTGTCACTACAACCATTTCATCAACTGCTTCTACAAGTGAGACACCTACACCTACTCCTTCTAAAAGTGAGTACTTTTCATGGACAACTGTGTAAACTATTAACTGTATTTTATAATTTTTCATTACCAATGAAGTTGTATTATGATAATTGTGTCTAACAGTTTCTCCTACAAGATGTAATTCATATAGACAGACAATTATGACATTTCAGTTGAAAAAACTGTGTTAACACAGTTTACAGATGCTGTCATATTATCTTTTATTAAAAGTTTTTGCAAAACAGAATTTAATTTTATGCAGTGATGTCATTTTAAGTATGTCAACGAATATTACTTGCATAATGTTTCTATTCATACATCTAAATATTTTAGCACCCCCTGCCACTACAAGAAGTACTTTAACTGACTCAACACCACCAACTATATCATGTGAGTATTTTTATTTATAGACAGTTGAGTAAACAAGTTAATAGAAAAATTATTTCAGTAGTTCATTCATTTTAGTGTTAATGTGGTAAATGTTAATAATCATAACAATAACAAAACTAGACTAGGAAGTGAACAATTCACAAGACTTAAAAAGCACCCAGAATGACACAGGATAATCAGAATCTAAACAAGACACAGGTGAACACAATGATTAACCAAGGAAACAAACTAACTGAGCTTAGATGTAACATCATCCTGCCCACCCCTGAGGAGGTTGAAACGGAACGTATAATCCATTCAGGTGGGAAGAAGGTTCAAGACACCTAGAGTCCATGGAGGGACCGATGGAAAGAGAAAAAAAGGTGTGGCTGGTGGACGAAGGAACCACGGAACAGTAGGAGGAGGAGGCCTCTGTTACCCCTTTTCCACCAAAAAAGAACTGGTTCCGAACTGGTGCTGGTTCAAAGTTGGTTCGGAGTTGGTTCAACTTGCGAACACGTTCAGAACCTGTTTGTATTTCCACTGACTAAAGCGCCCAGGGAACGACGTCGTTACGTCACTGTGTACATTGCCATACGTCTTAGCTAGAAACGCTTGCAAGTACAACATTACTTTGGGATTATCCCTAACTCGTGTACCAAGAAGGCTTTAAAAACAATTGAAATATGTCTTTTAATCTTTTCATTTGATATGTAATCTTTTCTGATAATTTGTGTACCCCTGTCTTGTGTCTTTTTTTCTTTCCATTTATTCGTTCTATATTGTGACTGTTTCTTCTTTGCTTATAATGTTTTCAAAAAAAAAAAACGCTTAGAAATGCTTGCACCAACTTCAAGCATAACAATTACAAACGCGAACTTTGTCCTGGCTTTGCGATCCTTTATTATGGTCAGAAAAGATGTTTAGAACGCATCTAAACTCGCCCCAGCCCCCGACGTAAGCATGACGTGGTATAAGAACGGTTCTAGTCCAGCAAAGAGTTGGTGCCACTTTGGAACCAGTTTTCCCGGCAGAGAACCGGTTCTTTGGCTGTCGAAACACAAAGAACTGGTTCGCGGGCAGGCACCGGCTCCGAACCGGCTCTCAAAATGCTTTGGTGGAAAAGGGGCTTGTGAGACCAGTGAATCCACTTCTCCTGACAATGCTGTATGGCTGAAGGTCTACAGTGTTGCCCTCTGCATTTTACACCAGGGCAGAGCCATGGGAACTGAAGACCAAAGTGGAGTTAGAGGGCTTGATACCAATGTGCAGATGGAGGGATAAAAGACCAAATCAATACCAAGCACAGGGGTCTAAAGGGAACCAGACGGTAAGAGGAGTAAGGTGGCGATGAAGGCTCAGAAGACAGAGCCAGTGAGAGTGAGGACAAAGGAGTTGTCAGAGGGATGGAGCCAGCCGGACCCAGCCGAAGCTCGAGGAGGGGGTTGAGCCAGAGAAGCCAATGAAGCCAGAAGAGGAGGCGAAGCCAGAAAACTGAATTGAGGCTGCAGAGGGGGTGGAACCAGAGAGCTGGGTAGGACAAACGAAGACGAACGAGCCACAGAGCCGTGTAGTACCGGTGGAGATAAAGGAGCTAGGCAGGACCAGCAGAAATGAAGGAACCAGGGAGCCGGGCGGAACAAGTAAGGACAAAGGAATTAATGGAGGAGGAAGGGCTTGAGAACAATAGGAAACGTCGAATCCAATATTCCAACTGGAATAGAACTGAGTCTCAAACATCAGCTTTTTATAGGGAGTAATTTTTCTAATTATGGACAATTGAGTAAGCATGTAATGTGCTAAATAATACAAATTATTACAATAACTACAATAACTACACAGGACAATGAACTGAACCAAACACATGACTTAAAATACGCACATGATAATGAGAAACTAAACAAGACACAGTTGAACACATTCGGTAACCAAGAGAACAAACTAAGTGAGCTTAGACGTGACATAACCCCCTCCCCCCACACCCCTGAGGGAGGGGGAGGTATGGGGTGGCCAGGTGGGCCAAGATACCCAGGCAAAAAAGTCCATGCAGGGACCAGTGGAGAGAGAAACCAAGGAGTGGCTTGTGGACGAAGGAACCACAGACAAGTAGATGGGGAAGACTCCTTGCGACACCAGTGAATCCACTTCTGCTGATGATTCTGGAGGGCTGAAGGTCCACGGCGGTTCCCTCCCCAGTTTTGACCTGGGCGGAGCCGTGGGAACTGAAGACCAAAGTGGAGTAAGGTGTGCTGGATACCAAGGGTCAAATGGAGGGATGAAGAACCAAATTGGCACCACAGGCACTGGGGTCCAAGGCGGAACCGAAGAGTCAGAGGACTGAGGTGGAGATGAGGGCTCGCAAGACAGAGCTGGAGGCAGTTGGAGTGAGGACAAAGGAGAAGCCAAAGGGGTGGAGTAGCAAGTAGAGCCAAATGGCTGGAGGGATGAGGCATTGCCAGAGGCAGAGCTTGTGTCTCAGGAAAGATGAGGCAAACCAGGCAAATGAGCAGAGCCAGTGAAGGGTGTGGATCCACTACCAGTTAAAATGTTTATAATTGAATATAAGTTAGTCTTCTAACAATGATATTTTGATTGTAATACATAAAATGAATTGTATGCACATATGTTATTTTTAGCTTCTAAGTAATATTTCGTGATTTTTTTTTCTATATGTCCATATATCACAGCATCCACTGTCACTACAACCATTTCATCAACTGCTTCTACAAGTGAGACACCTACACCTACTCCTTCTACAAGTGAGTACTTTTCATGGACAAATGTGTAAACTATTAGCTGTATTTTATAATTTTTTATTACCAATGAAGTTATATTATGATAATTGTGTCTAACAGTTTCTCCTACAAGATGTAATTCATATAGACAGACAATTATGACATTTCAGTTGAAAAAACTGTGTTAACACAGTTTACAGATGCTGTCATATTATCTTTTATTAAAAGTTTTTGCAAAACAGAATTTAATTTTATGCAGTGATGTCATTTTAAGTATGTCAACGAATATTACTTGCATAATGTTTCTATTCATACATCTAAATATTTTAGCACCCCCTGCCACTACAAGAAGTACTTCAACTGACTCAACACCACCAACTATATCATGTGAGTAGACATGTGCCGGTATTCGGTAATGCGATAAATCGCGGTAATGAATATGCACGATATTGTTATCGCGGGCTCTTCAAAATACCGTGGAAAATAATAGATTCAAATTTAGACTTTTAGAGCGCGCATTAGCTGCTTATTTTCCTTCAACCGCTCAAACACTGCGTGCTGGGCAGAACACGCGCGCACTCTGATGTAAACAATCCCCACATGTATAAGCACTGTGTGCTTGCGACAGTGCGCACTAGTCTAATGTAAACAATCCTCACATGATGAAGAAGCATGGCGGAACGCTCCCGACGATTTATCCCCGCAGGGCTGCCAACTCTCAGACATTCCGCTTGAGACTCAAGCTTGACTTTCAGACAGGACGCGGAATACGCGCGCGACGCGCAGGGATGTTTTGTTGCTGCGTCGACCTGCATCGACCACGCCGGTGTTAAAGTTCAAAATAGTTAAACTTTTTATTAGTAAAATAGCAAATCGCGTTGTATCTGAAGGGCAACGTTGAACCAGCGTCGCGCATTCCGCTTCCTGTCTGAAAGGCCCTTAACGCATTTGACACTTTTCACACGCTCTCCCACAGAGAAAAATCACAGAGCAAAGAGGACACTGACACCGACAGACTAGACAGAGCAGGTTACTTTTGATATGAAAGTTGTTATTGATAAATTGAAGTTGATAAATCAGCTCTTAGGTTCTGATCACAGATCGTTGCTCCTCAGTTAAAGTAAACCGATCATCATGTTACTTTCGTTTTTATTTAAAGATACAGTATAACTTACCGAAAGGTATATTTACTTGTACATAATAACGATCAATCAGTGTTTTCAAACACGGAAAGAGGTCAGTAACACTGCAGGAGAACAGTTGTGTCAAAACGTTACATTTACCTCAGGAAAGCCATTTAATGACCAGCACATTAGAAAATAGCAAGGAGTAATTTGCTAAATATTATATTTAATTTCTCTCTGTATGTTTACAGCATTATGTGAGGTTTTTTTTTCTTGAGAAACATTAACAGACTGAGGCCTGCCTAATATTTATCAAAATGAGTCAATATTGAATTAAGACTGAAATCAAATCCAAGAATTTAATTGAATAATACAAACAGTAACCTACCAGTCATTGTAACATGTTGTCACTAAACTTTAAACAATTTGGTTTAGTTTACCATATGTTTTAAAAATCACAATTACACATTGATACAAGTTGAGGTTTTTTTTAGAGACCCACAATGCATCTGTTTTTCTTGAAATATAATTTCATTAAAATATCGTGATAATACCGTATACCGCAATAAAAGCTCAATCAATTAACCGCAGCATGAAAATTTGATACCGGCACATGCCTACATGTGAGTATTTTTATTTATAGACAGTTGAGTAAACAAGTTAATAGAAAAATTATTTCAGTAGTTCATTCATTTTAGTGTTAATGTGGTAAATGTTAATAATCATAACAATAACAAAACTAGACTAGGAAGTGAACAATTCACAAGACTTAAAAAGCACCCAGAATGACACAGGATAATCAGAATCTAAACAAGACACAGGTGAACACAATGATTAACCAAGGAAACAAACTAACTGAGCTTAGATGTAACATCATCCTGCCCACCCCTGAGGAGGTTGGAACGGAACGTATAATCCATTCAGGTGGGAAGAAGGTTCAAGACACCTAGAGTCCATGGAGGGACCGATGGAAAGAGAAAAAAAAGGTGTGGCTGGTGGACGAAGGAACCACAGAACAGTAGGAGGAGGATGCCTCTGTTACCCCTTTTCCACCAAAAAAGAACTGGTTCCGAACTGGTGCTGGTTCAAAGTTGGTTCGGAGTTGGTTCAACTTGCGAACACGTTCAGAACCTGTTTGTATTTCCACTGACTAAAGCGCCAAGGGAACGACGTCGTTACATCACTGTGTACATCGCCATACGTCTTAGCTAGAAACGCTTGCAAGTACAACATTACTTTGGGATTATCCCTAACTCGTGTACCAAGAAGGCTTTAAAAACAATTGAAATATGTAAGTCTTTTAATCTTTTCATTTGATATGTAATCTTTTCTGATAAGTTGTGTACCCCTGTCTTGTGTCTTTTTTTCTTTCCATTTATTCGTTCTATATTGTGACTGTTACTTCTTTGCTTATAATGTTTTCAAAAAAAAAAAAAACGCTTAGAAATGCTTGCACCAACTTCAAGCATAACAATTACAAAGGCGGACTTTGTCCTGGCTTTGCGATCCTTTATTATGGTCAGAAAAGATGTTTAGAACGCATCTAAACTCGCCCCAGCCCCCGACGTAAGCATGACGTGGTAAAAGAACGGTTCTAGTCCAGCAAAGAGTTGGTGCCACTTTGGAACCAGTTTTCCCGGCTAAGAACCGGTTCTTTGGCTGTCGAAACACAAAGAACTGGTTCGCGGGCAGGCACCGGCTCCGAACCGGCTCTAAAAATGCTTTGATGGAAAAGGGGCTTGTGAGACCAGTGAATCCACTTCTCCTGACAATGCTGTATGGCTGAAGGTCCTTAGTGTTGCCCTCTGCATTTTACACCAGGGCGGAGCCATGGGAACTGAAGACCAAAGTGGAGTTAGGGGGCTTGATACCAATGTGCAGATGGAGGGATAAAAGACCAAATCATTACCAAGCACAGGGGTCTAAAGGGAAAAAGACGGTAAGAGGAGTGAGGTGGCGATGAAGGCTCAGAAGACAGAGCCAGTAAGAGTGAGGACAAAGGAGTTGTCGGAGGGATGGAGCCAGCCGGACCCAGCCGAAGCTCGAGGAGGGGGTTGAGCTAGAGAAGCCAATGAAGCCAGAAGAGGAGGTGAAGCCAGAAAACTGAATTAAGGCTGCAGAGGGGGTGGAACCAGAGAGCTGGGTAGGACAAACGAAGACGAACGAGCCACAGAGCCGTGTAGTACCGGTGGAGATAAAGGAGCTAGCCAGGACCAGCAGAAATGAAGGAACCAGGGAGCCGGGCGGAACAAGTAAGGACAAAGGAATTAATGGAGGAGGAAGGGCTTGAGAACAATAGGAAACGTCGAATCCAATATTCCAACTGGAATACAGTAGAACTGAGTCTCAAACATCAGCTTTTTATAGGGAGTAATTTTTCTAATCATGGACAATTGAGTAAGCATGTTATTATGAAAATTAGATTAGTAGTTAACTCATTTTAGTGTTAATGTGCTAAATAATACAAATTATTACAATAACTACAATAACTACACAGGACAATGAACTGAACCAAACACATGACTTAAAATACGCACATGATAATGAGAAACTAAACAAGACACAGTTGAACACATTCGGTAACCAAGAGAACAAACTAAGTGAGCTTAGACGTGACATAACCCCCTTCCCCCTCCCCCCACACCCCTGAGGGAGGGGGAGGTATAATCCATAATGGGGTGGCCAGGTGGGCCAAGATACCCAGGCAAAAAAGTCCATGCAGGGACCAGTGGAGAGAGAAACCAAGGAGTGGCTTGTGGACGAAGGAACCACAGACAAGTAGATGGGGAAGACTCCTTGCGACACCAGTGTATCCACTTCTGCTGATGATTCTGGAGGGCTGAAGGTCCACGGCGGTTCCCTCCCCAGTTTTGACCTGGGCGGAGCCGTGGGAACTGAAGACCAAAGTGGAGTAAGGTGTGCTGGATACCAAGGGTCAAATGGAGGGATGAAGAACCAAATTGGCACCGCAGGCACTGGGGTCCAAGGCGGAACCGAAGAGTCAGAGGACTGAGGTGGAGAAGAGGGCTCGCAAGACAGAGCTGGAGGCAGTTGGAGTGAGGACAAAGGAGAAGCCAAAGGGGTGGAGTAGCAAGTAGAGCCAAATGGCTGGAGGGATGAGGCATTGCCAGAGGCAGAGCTTGTGTCTCAGGAAAGATGAGGCAAACCAGGCAAATGAGCAGAGCCAGTGAAGGGTGTGGATCCACTACCAGTTAAAATGTTTATAATTGAATATAAGTTATTCTTCTAACAATGATACTTTGATTGCAATACATAAAATGAATTGCATGAACATATGTCATTGATAACTTCTAAGTAATATTTCGTGATTTTTTTTTCTATATGTCCATATATCACAGCATCCACTGTCACTACAACCATTTCATCAACTGCTTCTACAAGTGAGACACCTACACCTACTCCTTCTAAAAGTGAGTACTTTTCATGGACAACTGTGTAAACTATTAACTGTATTTTATAATTTTTCATTACCAATGAAGTTGTATTATGATAATTGTGTCTAACAGTTTCTCCTACAAGATGTAATTCATATAGACAGACAATTATGACATTTCAGTTGAAAAAACTGTGTTAACACAGTTTACAGATGCTGTCATATTATCTTTTATTAAAAGTTTTTGCAAAACAGAATTTAATTTTATGCAGTGATGTCATTTTAAGTATGTCAACGAATATTACTTGCATAATGTTTCTATTCATACATCTAAATATTTTAGCACGCCCTGCCACTACAAGAAGTACTTTAACTGACTCAACACCACCAACTATATCATGTGAGTATTTTTATTTATAGACAGTTGAGTAAACAAGTTAATAGAAAAATTATTTCAGTAGTTCATTCATTTTAGTGTTAATGTGGTAAATGTTAATAATCATAACAATAACAAAACTAGACTAGGAAGTGAACAATTCACAAGACTTAAAAAGCACCCAGAATGACACAGGATAATCAGAATCTAAACAAGACACAGGTGAACACAATGATTAACCAAGGAAACAAACTAACTGAGCTTAGATGTAACATCATCCTGCCCACCCCTGAGGAGGTTGAAACGGAACGTATAATCCATTCAGGTGGGAAGAAGGTTCAAGACACCTAGAGTCCATGGAGGGACCGATGGAAAGAGAAAAAAAGGTGTGGCTGGTGGACGAAGGAACCACGGAACAGTAGGAGGAGGAGGCCTCTGTTACCCCTTTTCCACCAAAAAAGAACTGGTTCCGAACTGGTGCTGGTTCAAAGTTGGTTCGGAGTTGGTTCAACTTGCGAACACGTTCAGAACCTGTTTGTATTTCCACTGACTAAAGCGCCCAGGGAACGACGTCGTTACGTCACTGTGTACATTGCCATACGTCTTAGCTAGAAACGCTTGCAAGTACAACATTACTTTGGGATTATCCCTAACTCGTGTACCAAGAAGGCTTTAAAAACAATTGAAATATGTCTTTTAATCTTTTCATTAGGGCCCAAGCCCTGAAAGGGCGAAGGCCCTATTGTTTTCCTAAGGATTATTAGGGCCCAAGCCCTGAAAGGGCGAAGGCCCTATTGTTTTCCTTAGGATTATTAGGGCCCAAGCCCTGAAAGGGCGAAGGCCCTATTGTTTTCCTTAGGATTATTAGGGCCCAAGCCCTGAAAGGGCGAAGGCCCTATTGTTTTCCTAACGATTATTATTATTATTATTATTATTTATACGACTATTTGGGCACTTTTGGGGCCCTTAACATGCTCAAAAACTCTTGAAACTTTGCACACGGGTCAGAATCCGCGGCCATCAGGGCTGGGCTGAAGATGGTACCCGGGCGTGGCAGGGGGGCTAGACAGCGCCCCCTGGAACGGGGTCCGAAAACTTGGTCCATAACTCAAACACGCTTGCATGTAATAATATGAAACTCGGTACACATGTTGATCTCATCGTTCATATATACCTCAAACTATTACTTTTTACCCCAGCCCAACAGGAAGTCGGTTATTTAGGGTTGTTCATAAAACACTCGCAATGGAATTTGAAGTACTCCTCCTAGAGAATTCAAACACACGGCACGAAACTCGGTCAGCATGAAGTCAAGGCATTGAGGATGAAAGTTTGCGAGGGGATTTTTGATATCTCGAACGGTTTGGCCGTGGCGAGGAAACGAACTTATGGCGATAATCGTGAAACAGGAAGTGTGTCAGAACTTCAGCATACATTAACTGATCTTGATGAAACTTCAGCAGTTTGTTTGCTGTAAGAGGACGATCACATGGATGTGAATATTGTGAGTCAAAGTTATAGCGCCACCAACTGGCAGCAGGAAGTGTGTCACTTTCAAAATGCTTTGAAATCACCCTCTTATTTTTACCCGATTTGCTTCAAACTTAATCTGTATAATGTAAATACATAGCAAATGAAGACCTGTGAATGGATTCTTGATATCTTTGATACTGTTGCCGTGGCAATGCATCAAACTTTAAAATTCTTTTTTTTTGATGATTTTGAGACTCTTAGCGGCTTTTGGGGCCCTTAACGGGTTTGAAAACTCTTGAAACTTTGCACACAGGTCAGATCCCACAGCCATCAGAGCCGGGCTGAAGATGGTACCTGGGTGTGGCAGGGGGGCTAGACAGCGCCCCCTGGAACGGGGTCCGAACACTTGGTCCATAACTCAAACACGCTTGCATGTAATAATATGAAACTCGGTACACATGTTGATCTCATCGTTCATATATACCTCAAACTATTACTTTTTACCCCAGCCCAACAGGAAGTCGGCTATTGAGGTTTGTTTGTAAAACGCTCGCAATGGAATGTGCAATACTCCTCCTAGAGAATTCAAACACACGGCACGAAACTCGGTCAGCATGAAGTCAAGGCATTGAGGATGAAAGTTTGCGAGGGGATTTTTGATATCTCGAACGGTTTGGCCGTGGCGAGGAAACGAAATTATGGCGAGAAACGTGAAACAGGAAGTGTGTTATAACTTCAGCATACATTAACTGATCTTGATGAAACTTCAGCAGTGTGTTCGCTGTAAGAGGACGATCACATGGATGTGACTATTGTGAGTAAAAGTTATAGCGCCACCAACTGGCAGCAGGAAGTGTGTCACTTTCAAAATGCTTTGAAATCACCCTTTTATTTTTACCCGATTTGCTTCAAACTTAATCTGTATAATGTAAATATACGGCAGATGTAGACCTGTGAATGGATTCTTGATATCTTTTAAACTGTTGCCGTGGCAACGCATCAAACTTTACCATTCTTTTAGGATGCTTTTGAGACCCTTAGCATGCTTCAAATCGCATGAAACTCGACAGACACATCACATTTATTAGCCAGTAGACATGTGCAAAGTTTCAGAAACGGGCGTGGTGAGGGCTCAGTAGCACCACCTTTTGACAAAAGTGGGGTTGTTAGTTTTAACTAGAGTTACAAAAATCGGTATGTATATTGTACTCCTCGAGCCGGACAACTTTCTAATTGACACTCATTAGCTAGGACCCACAGAAAGTCAGATATCTTTGTTTGAATGTTGAGAAAATCTTAGAATTTTGCCAGTCTCTCAGTGTCTCTCTGTGTGAGTGAGAGGAGGGGCGCCTGTCAGGTTAATTTTAACCCTTTATTTGCTGTGTGCGACTTCTCTGGCATTTTCGGGGGCCTTAACATCCTCTAAAACTCTTGAAACTTTGCACACGGGTCAGAACCCATGGCCTTCAGGGCCGGGCTGAAGCTGGTCATCGGGCGTGGCAGGGCGGCTCGACAGCGCCCCCTGGACTGGGATTCGAACATTTGTCCATAGATCAAACACACTTGCGTGAATTAATATGAAACTCGGTACAATTATAGATCACATCAGGCCAAACAACTTTCGTGCTCTAAGTTTTACGACAATTAAAATGGAAGTTGAGAATTATGGGTTGTTTAAATAGTTGTCCTAGGAGAAATACATCAAATTACAACGCATGTGTTTACCAATCACAACCAAACTCGGTGTGCAAGAAGTCAAGACATTGAGGATGAAAGTTTGTGAGGGGATTTTTGATATCTCAAACGGTTTGGCCGTGGCGAGGAAACGAAATTATGGCGAGAAACGTGAAACAGGAAGTGTGTTATAACTTCAGCATACATTAACATATCTTGATAAAACTTCATCAGTGTGTTCGCTGTAAGAGGACGATCACATGGATGTGACTATTTCGAGTCAAAGTTATAGCGCCACCAACTGGCAGCAGGAAGTGTGTCACTTTCAAAATGCTTTGAAATCAACCTCTTATTTTTACCCGATTTGCTTCAAACTTCATCTGTATAATGTAAATACATGGCAGATGAAGACCTGTGAATGGATTCTTGATATATTTGATACTGTTGCCGTGGCAACGCATCAAACTTTAAAATTCTTTTTTTTTTGATGATTTTGAGACTCTTAATGGCTTTTGAGGCCCTTAACGGGTTTGAAAACTCTTGAAACTTTGCACACAGGTCATATCCCACAGCCATCAGGCCCGGGCTGAAGATGGTACCTAGGCGTGGCAGGGGGGCTAGACAGCGCCCCCTGGAACGGGGTCCGAAAACTTGGTCCATAAATCAAACACGCTTGCATGTAATAATATGAATGAAAAACTTCATCTGTATAATGTAAACGGATGAAAAACTTCATCTGTATAATGATGAAAAACAGATGAAAAACTTCATCTGTATAATGTAAACATACGGTAGATGTAGACCTGTGAATGGATTCTTGATATCTTTTAAACTGTTGCCGTGGCAAAGCTTCAAACTTTGAAATTATTTTAGGATGCTTTTGAGACTCTTAGCATGCTTGAAATTGCATGAAACTCAACAGACACATCACATTTATTAGCCAGTAGACATGTGCAAAGTTTCAGAAACGGGCATGGTGCAGGGACTAAATAGCGCCACTGTAGATTTAAAATCTTCGTTTCCCCTTGTTATTTAATTTAATGAAAAGACACCAGTCATTCTGCCAATATATGTTATTTATTTTACCAATTTATATAAGACATAAGGGAGAGAGAGTGGACCAGCAAAGATCGTCCTTCTGCTTCTCTGTATTTTTCCTCTCTCTGTCTCAAACAAAGAACTTACACAGTACATATACTAACATCTGCTCTCAATCAATCACCGAAATGTATATTCTGCTCCACGGAAAGAAACATAATACACTCAACTTCCCCCCAAAGTCTCCCAAACTCTAAAAGTCTTCCACATACAGAATTCAGAAAAGTTTGATTCATAAAAATGTAGATTATAAATGATTATGAATATATATGAAAAGTATAAAAAATGTATATGAAAAGTGTAAATCACATGCATAATACTAATGATTATGATTATTAATAAAAACAATAAAAAAACTAAAAACAACATTAAATGATGAGATTGTGAATCTTCAGTCCCTCCTCTGGAACTACGGCCGTCAGTTCCACACCATCATCTCCAGGTGGCCAACCTATTGAAGTGATAGTGCTGAGGAGAAATAGTAGACCAAGACATAGACATAGAAGACAAAAGAATTGAAACAGAAAAGAAAACAAATAACAAACACAAACCCAACCCATGGTATGTCCCCGCATACTATGTGTTATTTAACATCTATGTGTAAGCATTTAAAATGAACCCCAATCATCTAAGAAAAGAAAAACTAAAAAAGTCTTCTGCCCGTGCCTGGACTCATTAATTAATTAACTCGTTAATTAATTAACTCCTCCAGTTCCGAGCCAAAATAAGAAATTAAAATAAACGTTGATGTTAAAGGGTCCTATCCCTTGGGGTTGTAA